GATCCAGCTCTCTGCTATGGCCTGGGAAAGCAGTAGAAGATGGCCCAAGTCCTTGGGCCCCTGTACCCACGTGGGAGACCAGAAGAAGCTCCTGGCTCCTGGCTTCGGATTGGCACAGCTCCAGCCATTGTGGCCAATTGAGGAGTGAGCCAGCCAATGGAAGACTCTCTCTCTCTCTGCCTCTCCTTCTCTCTTTGTGTAACTCTGACTTTCAAATAAAGAAAGAAATTTTTTTTTAATTAAAAAAAAAATAAAGAGACCGAGGGAGAGGGAGAATCCCGCGGCCCTCGGTCCCGGGCAGCGACGTCCCTTCTCCAAGCCCTGCTTTCCTCATCTGTCTCCAGGGATGCAAACAGCAGCCGCATGGCGAGGTTTGAGGATGACGTGAGAAGATGCAAGGCGGCTCCCACGCAGGGCCGTGCCCTCCCCACAGGCACAGGACTCACGTTCCTCACCCAGCCTCTGCCCAGGCTCCTGCTGGGGCCTCCTGGGGCCCCACCCTGGCCCCTACAGAGCCTCTGGCTGGCCTCTGAGAAAGGGCGGTGCCCTGTCTCCCAGCTAAGGGCTCCCCACAGGACCACGGGCCTAGAGCTGCACCTCTCGAGTCACGCACTGTGTTCCCCAAATTCATTGGCCAAATCCATGTACCTGTTGGTAGTACTAGCTCCAGGATGTGTTCTCTCAATCAGCTTATTTTTCTTAAAAAAAAAAAAAAAGATTCATTCATTTATTTGAAAGAATCACACACACACACACACACACACACACACAGATACACATACCCCTTCTGTGCTCTGGTTCACTCCCCAGTTGGCAGCAATAGCCAGGGCTGGCATCACAGGTCAGGGCTTAATCCACTGTGCCACAACGCTGGCTCCCAGTCGGCTCATTTTTAAAAAGAAAACCTGAGTTCTTTTTCTTTAAGAAAAGGTTTATTTATTTGTGAGAGAGACAGACAGAGCAAGACAGAAACTTCCCATCTGCCGGTCCATCCCCAGATGGCCCGCTATGGGAAGTCCGTCCAGGTCTCCCCCACGATGCTAGGGGTCACCACTGGCTCCCAGAGTGTGCATCAATGGGAACAGCGCTGGGTCTCCAATGCCGACCCTGCGGTGTGGGAGGCACCTGCCGCAGCACGCTCGCCTAAGGGGGGGCCTCCCATCCCGGAGCCAGCGCCTGCTGGGAGGAGGAGGAGGTGACTGCAACATCACGCAACTGGAAAGCAAACAAGATTGTTGGTTTCTGGCCAGGTCCCGTTCCTCACGGCAGGCTCTGAGCTGAGCTCCTCTGTCCTCGACGACAGAGACATTGAAATGCTGCACATGTTAGATGAGACTCTGAGCAGTTGGAGGAACAGGAAGAAAACGAAAGGGAAGAAATGCGTCCCAGCATGATTCGTGTACATCGTTCGGTCTCGAGGCCTGAGACTCTGCCCCCCACCACTGCTCCACACCCTGTACCTTGGACACCACCCGACCCCACTCCCCCCATTTCACAGGTGAGAGAACTGAGCCCCTGGACAGGGAAGTGACTCGCCCACAGTCCCATGGGGCTCCAGTGGGACCCAGAATCCAGCCGGAAATTTGAGGCCTTATTTTGGTGGGAAGAATGGGCAAAGATGCAAAGTTATGGGAACCAGTAGTGGGATTTTAGATACAGGGAGGCACTGGGGGCATGGAGGGGAGGCCGGGGCGGGGGGGTGGCGCTGTTCCTGCCGAGGTGGGGCTCTGGACCGCCGCCTCCTCTCCTTCCTCAGAGCGGCTCTGCCAGCCCTGGAGCTCCTCAGGACCACAGTAGATAGATACCCAGCTTGCTGTGCTTGGGAACCCAGGGCTCTGAGCCGCGAGAGGGAAAGATTTATTTATTTCAAAGTCAGAGTTACACACAGAGAGAAGGAGAGGGAGAGGGAGAGGCAGAGGGAGAGGGAGAGGAGAGAGAGAGAGAGAGGAGAGAGAGAAAGAGAGAGTGTGTCTTCCATCTGCTGGTTCACTTCCCAATTAGCTGCAACCACCGGAGTTACACTGATCCGAAGCCGGAAGCCAGGAGCTTCTTCCGGGTCTCCCACGCAGGTGCAGGGGCCCAAGGACCTGGGCCATCTTCTACTGCTTTCCCAGGCCATAGCAGGGAGCTGGATTAGAAGTGGAACAGCTGGGACTCGAACTGGAGCCCATATGGAATGCGGCACTGTAGGTGGCGGCTTAACCCACTACACCGCAGCACCAGCCCTGATTTTCTTTTTGACAGCTGCTCATATAGCACTTCTATCCCAGGCACTTCACAAAGAGCCACTACGTTCTATGACAAACCAATAAGGGAAATACTGTTATCATTCCTGCTTTACAGAAGAGGAAGTGCAGCTTGCCCAATGTCTGAGTGGTAAGATTTGAACCCAGGAATGTGATTTGGCTATGACAGGAGGTGGCCTTGATGCATTTAATCCTGATGACTGCAATGCGAGGGAGGTATAATTAATCCCATTTTACAGATTACAAAACTGAGGCTCAAGGTCAAGCTACACTTGAGCAGGGGGCAAGCTACACACCTGTCAAACTAAACATCTGTCTGCCCAGATGCTTCTCTTTGTGGTACCCTCTGGACCATGTGTTAGGAGTTCTCGGTCTAGCGACTGCCTTTCCACATGGTGGCCTGTGTTGCCTGCACTATGGGCATCCCACATTGGCGCCGGTTCGATTCCCAGCTGCTCCACTGGTTCACTCCCAAATGCTCACAATGGCTGGGGCTGAAGTTGGGAGCCAGGAACTCAACCCATTTTTTCCCAGCTGGAGGGCAGGGACCTAAGTACTTGAGCCATCGCCTGTTGTCTCCCAGGGTGCACACTAGCAAGAGGCTGCAACTGGAACTGGAGCCAGGATTCAAACCCAGGCACTCCACAGTACGGGACACAGGCATCCCAAGCATAACTGCAACCACAGTGTCAAGCACCCACCCCTAAACACCACTTTGTGACCACCCCTACTAGAAAGCGCCACACCCAGTGATGCTTCGGAATGAATCTATCCTGCTTTACTTTTTCCCTTCACGTCAAGAACATGCATGGCACTTTTTTTTTTTTTTTTGACAGGCAGAGTGGACAGTGAGAGAGAGAGACAGAGAGAAAGGTCTTCCTTTGCTGTTGGTTCACCTTCCAATGGCCGCTGCGGCCGGCGTGCTGCAGCCGGTGCACCACGCTGATCTGAAGCCAGGAGCCAGGTGCTTTTCCTGGTTTCCCATGGGGTGCAGGGCCCAAGCACTTGGGCCATCCTCCACTGCCTTCCCAGGTCACAGCAGAGAGCTGGCCTGGAAGAGGGGCAACCGGGACAGAATCCAGCGCCCCGACCGGGACTAGAACCCGGTGTGCCGGCGCCGCAAGGCAGAGGATTAGCCTACTGAGCCGTGGCGCCGGCCATGGCACTTCTATAATCTATTTCAGAGTATGTTGGCTGTTGATTTTATTCTCTTGCTCAGTCTCCTTCCTGATCTGTGGACGCACAGATGGGTCACCTGGGCAGCCAGCATTCAGAACAGGGCGTGACATAGCGTGCAACAAAGTCAGGAATGGCCACCCAGACCCATCCCACCCCCAGCCCCTTGCAGCAGCGGGGTCTCCCCACCTGTCCTGGGGTAGGAAATGAGTTCATGCATTCCTCCCCACCTGGGGAGCCACTGAGTGAAATGAGACTCCAGAGTCCCCTAGGGTGCCCCAAAGCTTCCAAGACCTAGGTGAGCTGGTCCCTGGGGTTCTGGAGTCAGGGAGACAAGGGTGGTGCCGCCTGTCTCCCATCCAGCTCTGGCAGGAGGAGTTATTATTTTTTATTTATTTTACTTAAAAGAGTTACACAGAGAGAGGAGAGAGAGAGAGAGAGAGAGAGAGAGTCTTCCATCTTCTGATTCACTCCCCAAGTGGCCACAATGGCTGGAGCTGCGCCAATCCAAAGCCAGGAGCCGGGAGCTTCAGCCAAATCTCCCATGCAGGTGCAGGGGCTGAAGGATTTGGGCCATCTTCTACTGCTTCCCCAGGCCATAGCAGAGAGCTGGGCAGAAAGTGGATAGCTGTGCCTCTAACTAGTGTCCATATGGGATGCCATCGTTTTAGGCCAGAGCGTTAACCCGCTGCACCACAGTGCCCGCCCCTGGAGGGGTTATTTTTGACACTGATGAATTCAGATACAGAGACCTACTGTATTTTTAAATTCCCACTATATTTGTTAAAACACTTTTTTTATTTGAAAGGCAGAGTTAGAGAGAGAGGAGAGACGTTCCATGAACTGGTTCACTCCCCAGCAACGTTGGCAGCAGCGGTGGAAGGCATTCAGGTCTCCCTCCGGGGCTGCAGGGGCCCAAGCACTCAGGCCACTTTCCGCAGCCATCCTGCATTGGCAGGGAGCTGAATCAGAAGCCGAGCAGCTGGGACTCCAACGGGGTCCTCCTATGGGATGCCTGCCGCACTAGTGGCGCTGGCCCCAAGGCCGGCCCCAAGCAGTAAGTTATTTAACCGTCTCAAAGACGCCTTGAAGTGAGTGCTACTGTGAGACCGGTTCATGGAGAGGGACCCTGGGGCAGGGCATTAAGCAGCTTTCCTGAGCTGGGAAGGCGAAGCGCACGCCTAGGACGGCCGGCGCTGCGGGGGTGGCTCTAACCACTGGGCTGCACGGCCCCCGTCGGATGGCGGCGGGGCGCTCACCGACCTCGCTCTCCCCAGGGCACCGCACTGGCTCTTTGGAGCTCTTGGCTCAGCGCTGCAGCCTGATTGAGCAGAGCTCCAGGGCCGCTTCGGCGCATCTGGGAGAAAGGCGATCCCTGCGTGCCGGGTCTTCTCCCAAAGCAGCCCCGCACGGCGACGGCGGGAGCGCGCCGCACACGCGCGCCAGCGCCCGGGACACCCGGCTCCGCTCCTTTTCAGAGGGGAAAGGAAGACGTTGAGAAGGGAAGCTGCTCTCGGCCCCTGGCGGCTGGGAATCAAGGCTCTGGAAAGAGAAGCGCACCGTTTGCGCCGCGACGGAGCCAGCGGCTACGGGTCTGCCCTCGAGCGGCCGCCCGGCTGCAAGGGCGGAGGTTCCGGCGCGGACGCCGGCCGGCGCCGAGGCACGGTCCCCGGGGCGGCGGGCGGAGCGCACTCGGGCGGCCCCGGGAGAGGCGGGGCGCGCGGATGGTGCAATCCGCGGCCCGAGGGCATCAGGCGAAGGCGGATTAGCTCAGGTTTACATCACCCGGGCCGGGGCCGCCAGACACTCGTGCGGAAAGCCGCGGCCGCACCGAGCGCACGCGTCCTCTGGTGGAGGCCCGTGTCGGAGCGGGACCGGGATCCCTGTTCGCCGGCGGGAGCCAGGACCAGGGCGGGACGCCAGGGTAAGGTGGCGGGCGAGGGGGCCTGGCGGAGCTGGAGGCTGGAGGGCGTCCGCGTGTCTCACTCAACTTCCAACTCCGTCGTTCGGGGGTGCTGGGGGCCGAGGGATCCCGCGGGTCTGGGGCGACGTGGTCCCGTACGCTTGCTTGTATGTGTGTGCCTGTGCCCGGGTGGGGACTCTGTAGGGTCTGCGTGTGTGGCAGTGTGCGAGGCTCTGCGGGTCCCGCGTGAGCCCGTGGGAGGAGAGGCCTGGGTGGAGCGGTCTCCGGAGTTCGCGTCTCCGTGCACGCTAAGCGCACTCTTGAGCTGTGGGGAGAGCCGGGCACACACGATGGGGCCCCCGGCGCGAGGGACCCCGCCGGGACGGAACTGGGCGCCCTGGAGGGGGTGCGTGTGCAGGGCGAGTGGAGCGAGGACGCAGCGCCGCGTGCGGAGCCACTGCGCGCCGGGTCTGGTCGGCAGGTACCCTGCTCCGCGCTTGCGGGTCCGGCGCGCGGGGTACTGGGTGTCCGCAGGCAAGGGGGGCGGTACGCGGGACGCCTCCCGGCCCTGGGTCCCGCCTCCTTCCCTCGGACTCACTCCGCCCAGTCCTGGGGCCGCCCCTCAGTTTCCGCGGCACCTTCCGGCCCGGCACACCCGCAGGCTCCGGAAGGCGGGGCGAGGTCGCTGACCAGCCTCGGGCACCCGGGCGTGCGTGTGGCCTCGGGGTCTGCCGTGGGAGGGGGAGCTGGCTGGGCCCGCGTGTGTCCGCGCTTGCCCGTAAGGGGCCAGGTGTATGCACTTGGTGGTGTGCCTGGCCCCGCCTGCCGGTTGAGACAAAGTGAGAGTGAGAGAGAGCGCGCGCTTTAAAGATATTATTTATTTATTTACAGGTGGAGTTACAGAGAGAGGGAGAGCCGGAAAAGTCTTCCATCCGCTGGTTCCCTCCCCGGCGCTGGGCTGATCCAAAGTCAGGATCCAGAAGCTTCCTCCCGGCCTCCCGCGGGGCTGCAGGGACCCAGGCACTTCGTCCGTCTTCCACTGCTTTCCCAGGCCACAGCAGAGAGCTGGACAGGAAGTGGAGCAGCTGGAGCCCGTGTGGGATGTCAAACGGGAGGCAGAGGCGTAGCCCACTGTGTCACAGCCCCGCCCCACGTGTGTTTTTGAGGGCGGGGAGGGGGTGTTTGGTGTAAGCTGCCAGAATCCTCCCTCACCCCTACCGTTGGGGTCGGAGTCTTGGGGCCTCTGAGAGACCCACCCAGCCCACCCAGGGCTCTTGAGGCTTTGGAGAAAAGAAATAGCCTGCTTTGGAATGCAGTCACTGAGGGCAGAACTTTGAAGGCACTGACGTAGAAAATTGCCTTGCCTGTCTACCACAGCGCTTCCTCCTCCCACCGGGGCCGGTTTAGTCTGGGTCCTTCCAGACCTGTCCCTGTGTACAGACACACACGAGGTACACGCGCTGTGTGTAGGGGGATTGTTCAGCACTTGCACTGCCCCAGGACAACCGGCCTCTTGTTGGTCCTGCATTCAGCCCATACCTACCCACCCACCTACCTGCTGCCTTCCCTCCCTCCTTGCTTGCTCCCTCTCTTTCCTTCCCTCCCCTCCCCTCTCTCTCTTTGCCTCTCCTCCCCCCTGGCTCCCCCCTCCCCTCCCTCTCCTCCCCTCCCCCTCCTGTATAGTAGTATTCCACTGCCCAGGCTGTTTTAGCCTTCTGTTTTAGCGGCCAGACATTTGAGTAGGTCCTGCCTTTTGTCTTTGGGCGCAAGCCTCTGCTATTTTATTTTCCTGTGAGCAGTTTAACTGGAGGATAAAGTGGGACACTTTTTCACACACACAAGGGAGTGTACTTTGTCATTTTAAAACAAGCTGCCAGGGGCCAGTGCTGAGGCACAGAAGGTTAAACTGCTGCCCTGCAGCGCCGGCATCCCATGTGGTGGGCACCGGTTCATGCTCCAGCTGCTCCTCTTCAGTCCAGCTCCCTGCGAATGGGAAAGCAGCAGAAGATGGCGCAAGCGCTTGGGCCCCTGCACTCGCGTGGGAGACCCGGATGAAGCTCCTGGCTCCTGGCTGCCGCCTGGCTCAGCCCCAGCTGATGTAGCCATTTGGGGAGTGAACCAGTGGTTGGAAGACCTCACTCTGTGTCTCTCACTCTAACTCTGCCTTTTAAATAATAAATAAACCTTAAACAAACAAAAACATGCTGCCAGTGGCTCCCTCTGTGTGAGGACACCCCCCCCTGCCCCGGCAGGGATGGGGACCACCACAGCCTCACCTTAGAGCCTCTCTCCCTCTTTCCCTAGATGCCAGCCTCCCCAGCGGCAGCCTCCGGGGGTCCCCCCTCCCAGAAGAAGCAGAAGCGTTTGGAGCTGGACGATGACTTAGACACCAGGTGTCCCATCCGAAAACGAGCTCGAAGTGGACCCCCGTCTGGGCCATCCCTGTGCCTGCTGCCCCTGAGCCCTGACCCTGCACCTGCTGTGGCCCCTGCCTCCCGGATTGGGCCCTATGTCCTCCTGGAGCCCAAGGAGGGTGGGCGGGCCTACCGGGCCCTGCACCGGCCCACAGGCGTGGAGTACACCTGCAAGGTGCGTGCCCGGGCCACCCTCTTCCATAGCTGCAGGCGCTGCCGCAGTGCTCGGAGGCCCCTGCCTTCAGTTAGTCCTGTGTTTATTCTGAGAGCGGGGAGGGAAGCCAGGCGTGGTCCCAGCCCTGTGGGAATTCACAGCTTAGACCTGCCGGGTGGGCGCTGGGGGGACAGAGGAGACGCTTGGCAAAGGGGGGTGTCAGCAACAGCTGAATAGGAGCTGGGTGAGTAGGAGTTAACTGGGTGGAGGTGGGAGAAGAGAGTTCCAGAGAGGGGTGAGCTTCCGCTGGGCTGCAGGCAGCCTCTGGAGGAGTTTGCGCAGGAGAAGGGTGAGATGTGGTGAGACGGCAAAACTCCCGGCACCCTGGAGGTGATCGGGGACTCAACCTATGGCCATTTTACAGATGGGAAGACTGAGGACAAGATGGGGGAAGGGCCATACATGAAGTCATCGAGCACTGGGCCTGGCTCCTGGGGCAAAGTACCGGGTAGAGAAGTTGGAGGGTTCGTGGCAAAAATCAGGAAACTGGCAGGCCTGGGGCTCCCTGAGGTTCAGCCTGTGTGTGACAGCCCAGAGCTGACACTAAAAAGTGGAACAGTGGGTATGTACTGTGCACTCAGGGCTGTGCTGACTGCTCAGGGCCCATCATGTCTGAATTCCACACAACCTGCAAGCTAATTACTATTCTCGAGCCCACTTTGCAGACAGGGAACATTGAGGCTGAGACAGGTGTGATTACTTGTCTTAGCACAGATCCTGGAAGTGTCAGAGCTGGAAGTGGGCCTGGCAGGCTGAGCTCTGAGCTCTGTGCCCTGTGCTGGGACAAGTATTTCAGACACGGGCAGGGCAGGCAGGCAGGCCAAAGGAAGAAAGGGGACACCCAGATCCCCAGGGAGAGGCAGAGGGCGACCCGGGTCTCCCTGGGGATGTATAGAGGGAGGGGGACTGAGGTCCCTCCCCCAGAAGATGCTGCACCCGCCTCTCGCTGTGACTGCCAGCTCTGCCTCGGCTCTGGGCTGTCTCATGCAGCCCCAGACTCTTCCCCCAGGTGTTTAAGGGAGCCTGCACTCTGCCTCCCAGGTTCCTGTTCATTCCCACAGGGGAGAGGCGGCCGTGCCTGGAGCAGTGACCGAGGCAGGCTCCAGGAAGAAGTCCCTGGCCTTTACCTGGCTCCCGTGCTCGTCCCCAGGTTCCTTTGAGCTGCGGGGCCTGAGCTGTCCCCTCCAGACGCCACCAGCTCTCTGGCTGGTGTGCAGGGAGACCCATGGCCGGTCTCTGCTGATTACCGCCTCACCCCCTGAGCGCCCCCTACCTGCCTGGCACCACACTGCACTCAGATAGCAGACCTGCTCTGTTCTCGGCACACTGGCATTCCAGCGGGGATTCAGACAACAGGGATCCCAAGTGAGGTGGGGCAAACAGCTGGGAATGGAGAGAAGGGGGTGGGAGTGGGGCCAGCGCTGTGGCGTAGTGGGTAAACCTCTACCTGTGGTGTCAGCATCATATAGGGGCGCCAGGTTCAAGTTCTGGCTGCTCCACTTCCTGTGCAGCTCCTGGCTAATGCACCTGGGAAATGTGCCTCTGCCTCTCTGTATCTCTGCCTTTTAAATAAATAAATTTTTAAAAGATTATTTATTTGAAAGGCAGAAATAGAGAGAGAGAGAGAGAAAGAGAGAGAAGCTGGGCCAGTCTGAAGCCAGAAGCTTCTTCTGGGTCTCCCACATGGGTGCAGGGGCCCAAGGACCTGAGCCATCCTCCATTGTTTTCCCAGGCGCATTGGCAGGGAGCCGGATGGGAAGTAGAGCGGTCAGGATTCAAACCAGCGCCGTATGGGAGGCTGGCACCACAGGCAGAGGCTTAACCTCCTATGTTACAATGCTGGCCCCATAAACAAATCCTTTTTTAAAAAGAGTGAGGGGAGTGGGAGAGCGGGGGTGCAGCTGGCTTAGCTGGGGTGGGGCAGAGGGTCGTGTGAGCGGTGACTTGCATAGTGGAAGGAGGCAGCTCCGGCACTGTCCAGGGGAAGGCCTCCGGGCAGCAGGTGCGGCAAGTGGGAGGGCATGGAGGTAGGCCCGGCTTGTCATACAGAAAAAAGGGACTCTCTGTGTCGAGATTCTTTCCTCTGTGCCGTCCCAACTGTAATTTCTTCCTTCTACTTCGTGAGAAAACAGCTGTGTCCTTTTTTCCAGTTTTTGAAAAGATTTATTGGGGCTGGCGCTGTGGCTCACTTGGTTAATCCTCCGCCTGCGGCACCGGCATCCCATATGGGCACCGGGTTCTAGTCCCAGATGCTCCTCTTCCAGTCCAGCTCTCTGCTATGGCCCGGGAGGGCAGTGGAGGATGGCCCAAGTGCTCGGGCCCTGCACCCGCATGGGAGACCAGGAGGAAGCACCTGGCTCCTGGCTTTGGATCAGCGCAGCTCCAGCCATTGCAGCCATTTGGGGGGGTGAACCAACAAAAGGAAGACCTTTCTCTCTGTCTCTCTCTCTCACTGCCTATAACTCTACCTGTCAAATAAATTTAAAAAAGAAAAGATTTATTTATTCACTTGAAAGGCAGAGAGAGAAAGAGAGATTGATCTTCTATCTGCCGGTTCACTTCCCAAATGCTCACAAAGGCTAGGGCTAGGCCAAGTGGAAGCCAGGATCCTGGAATTCCATCTGGGTCTCCCACGTGGCTGCAGGGGCCCGAGGATTCCGGCCATCTTCTGCTGCCTTCTCTGGTGCATTAGTAGGGAGCTGGGTCGGAAGCACAGGAATAGATGGGGACCAGAGGAGCTGGGACTTGAACCGGCGCTCATACGAGATTCTGGCTTCACAGGTAGTGGCTTAACCTGCTGTGCCGCAACGCTGGCCCAGGTTTTGTGCTTTCGTGGGTTTGTTTTGTTTTGTTTGCTCTAGAGTTTTTGTTCATGGATTAAAATGTGTATATGCTCTTCTATTTTTTTTTTTAAAGATTTTTTTATTTGAAAAGCAGAGTGACAGGGAAAGATAGAAAGTCCTCCAGCCGTTCGTTCACTCCCCAGATGGCTGTCGTGGCTGGGCCAGGCTGAAGCCAGGAACCCCTTCCAGGAGTCCCACACAGGTGGCAGGGACCCAAGCCCTTGGGTCATCTTCCACGGCTTCCCAGGTGCATTAGCAGGGAGCAGAACAGAGAGCGAGGACCCGGGACTCCAGCTGGCACTCGGCACGGCGTGTGGGGGTCCCAAGCAGCAGGGTCGCGCGCCGTGCCACACGCCAGCCCAGTGCTCCTGTTTTTCCTTTGTGGCACCGTCAAGATCACGTGCAGAGAGCTCCAAGTCACACAAGCCACAGTGTGCGCACCAGCTCTGCTGCTGATGAGCTGGCTGACGGCTAACAAGTCACTTCCCTGTTGGGACCCTCGGTTTTGCCATCAGTAAAATAGGACGCATCTTTCAGGGTGCAGGCGAGGTTTCTCTGTAAAGTCCACAAACCCCGAGCAGATTTCCCAACAAGCCGGGCACCGTTCCCTGGTGTCCCTGTTCCACTGCCCATCCATGCTTGCTGCCGTAATCTCTGGCTGGGTTTCTACAGTGGGTCAGGCCTGTTCTCTCCTCAGGGCCCTCGCACTGCCCCCACCTGAAAAACTTAGCCCACAGGGGGCTCTGGATTACCGAGTGCACTCCCAGAATTGTCCGGTCTCCGCTTCCTAAGATCGGTGTCCTCTTTCAAAACACCTCTATCCTCACACCTTCCATCACAGCATTTTTCAGAATTTGTAAATATCTAGTTTGTTGGCTTGTTTCCAGCGTCTCATGTTGAAACACAGGCACCAGGAAGGCAGGGGCCATGGCTGTCGGTCCAGGGAGTGGCCAGGCGGGCTCCGTGCTGGCGACCGAGTGACTGAAAGAGGGAGGCATGGTCCCAGAAGAAGTAGCTTTGGTGATGAGCGTCTGGGACCCCGCTCCTCTGGATTTACCCTGCGTTGAGGGTTCCCTTCCTGTTTGGGTTACCTGCCGTTTCCCAATTGTCTGAAGTTTTAGGTCATGCAAGGTAGCAGGTGCACAGGTTCCAGTCCCAGGTGCTGTGGCCCCCAAGCTTCCTTACTTGTGAAATGGAGCCTGTCTTGTCCTTAAACAGTCGGTGTGTGGGTTGAGCCACTTAGCAAGGGCCGGGCTTGGCGCAGCACCTGCCTGTCCTGCCTGTCCCTGGGCATGTCTGCAGGGTTGGTGGTTGCCTGCGCACGAGTCCCCCCGCTGTGCTCACGCTATACTTGGTCCGCAGGTGTACCCGGCTTCCCAGGCTCAGAACGTGCTGGAGCCCTACACACGGCTGCCCCACCACCAGCACGTGGCCTGGCCCGCTGAGGTCCTGGCGGGCACCCAGCACCTCTACGCCTTTTTCACTCGGACCCACGGGGACATGCACAGCCTGGTGCGCAGCCGCCGCCGCGTCCCCGAGCCGGAGGCCGCAGCGCTCTTCCGCCAGATGGCCGCGGCCCTGGCGCACTGCCACCAGCATGGTCTGGTCCTGCGTGACCTCAAGCTGCGGCGCTTCGTCTTCACCGATGCCCAGAGGTGAGTACGGCTGTGGAGCCCCAGATGCCCACCCCCCCAGCTGGGCTGTGACGGGACACGGAGGCCTGGGAGGGAAAGGTACCCGAGGCGAGAAGCGGGGAAGCACAGACTAGCCTCGCTGCGACTCCCCGGGAGCAGCTGGCTCGGTACCTGCTGCTGCTGGTGCCCGGAGGGTGAGAGCCGGCGTGCCCAGAGCTCAGTAGGGGCACCTTCCTGCCTTCCCGGCAGGCTGCAGCCAACTAAAGGAGTGGAGCCAGGGGAGCAGAGCCAGGAACAGCTACACAGCCGAAGCGGGAATGCGCCCGCACTCTTGCCTCCCACACTTCCTGTTTCTCCCCCTTTATACTCCGCGGACTTTAGCTTTGCCCTTGGTTTAAGAGCTTTAGCCCCACTCAGCCACCTCCCTGAGACATCACTGGGCAATGTGATCTCAGAAGTCTTGGTTTATATTTTATTTTTGGCTGGCATCGCCGCTCACTAGGCTAATCCTCCACCTGTGGCGCCAGCACCCCGGGTTCTAGTCCCAGTTGGGGCGCCGGATTCTGTCCCGGTTGCCCCTCTTCCAGACCAGCTCTCTGCTGTGGCCCGGGAGTGCAGTGGAGGATGGCCCAAGTGCTTGGGCCCTGCACCTGCATGGGAGACCAGGAGGAAGCACCTGGCTCCTGGATTCTGATTGGCACAGCACCAGCCGCAGCGGCCATTGGAGGGTGAACCAACGGAAGGAAGACCTTTCTCTCTCTCTCTCTCTCTCTCTCTAACTCTCTAACTCTGCCTGTCAAAAATATATATATTTTTTTATTTTTAAGATTTATTTATTTGAAAGTCAGAGTTACACAGAGAGAGGAGAGGTAGAGAAGTAGAGAGAGAGAGAGAGAGAGAGAGAGAGAGAGGGAGGGAGGGGGAGGGAGAGAGAGAGAGGTGTCTTTATTTGCTAGTTCACTCTCCAGTTGGCCGGAACGGCTGGAGCCGCGCTGATCCAAAGCCAGGAGCCATGCAGTTCCTCCAGGTCTCCCATATGGGTGCAGGGGCCCAAGGACCTGAGCCATCTTCTACTGCTTTCCCAGGCCATGGCAGAGAGCTAGATTGGAAGTGGAGCAGCTGGGACTTGAACTGGCACCCCTATGGGATGCCAGCACTGCAGGTGGCAGCTTTACCTGCTATGCCACAGTGCCGGCCCCTATTTTTTATTTTTATAAATTTTACTTATTTCACACACACACACACACACACACACACACACACACACACAGAGGCCCCCATCCACTGGCTCACTCCCCCAGTGCCTCTGAGAGCCAGAATGCAGTCAGGTCTCCCACGCGGGTGGCAGGAACCCGATTCCCTGAGCCCCCACTGCCGCCTCCCAGGGTGTGCACTAGCAGGAAGCTGGCGTGGGAGCTGCAGCCAGACCTGAAACCCAGCCGCTGGGCATCTTCACCACCAGGCTGAACACCTGGCTTCTTGGAATCTCTAATTTGTAAGATTGATTTTATTTATTTGAAAGAGTACCAGAGAGGGAGAGAGGGAGAGACAAAGAAAGAGACAGACCTTCCATCCGCTGGTTCACTCCCCAAAAGGCTGCAATGGTCTTGGTTGGGCCAGGCTGAAGCCAGCAGCCTGGAGCTTCATCCGGGTCTCCCACGTGGGTGGCAGAGACCCAAGCACTCGGGCCATCTTCTGCTGCCTTCCCAGGTGCATTAGCAGGGAGCTGGATGGGAAAGGAAGCAGCCGGGACTTAAACTTATATGGTGCTCATATGGGATGCCAGGGTCGCAGGTGACCGCTTAATCTGCTCCGCCACAGCGCTGGCTCTCCGGGGTCTTAAACATAATTGCTCTGCAATTTCAAGAAAAGCTTTAACCTCTCTGAGCCTGGGCTTCCTCACCAGCGAAGGATGAGGACTGGCTCTTGCCCAAAGCCAGCGGGCACTCGGGCATGGGTGCTCTTGAGGGGTGACGGTGTGGGGTGGTGGCATGGCGCTTCCAGACAGGGCCTGAGCCCTCTGTGTCTGCCCTGGCCCAGGACGAAGCTGGTGCTGGAGGACCTGGAGGACGCGCACGTGCTGACCGGGCCCGACGACTTGCTGTGGGACAAGCACGCGTGCCCAGCCTACGTGGGCCCCGAGATCCTCAGCTCACAGGCGTCCTACTCGGGCAAGGCGGCCGATGTGTGGAGCCTGGGCGTGGCACTCTTCACCATGCTGGCTGGCCACTACCCCTTCCAGGACTCGGCCCCTGCCCTGCTCTTCGGCAAGATCCGCCGGGGGGCCTTCGCCCTGCCCGAGGGCCTCTCGGCCCCCGCCCGCTGCCTGCTCCGCTGCCTCCTTCGCCGGGAGCCGGTTGAGCGGCTCACCGCCACCGGCATCCTGCTGCACCCCTGGCTGAGGGGGGACCCGGTCCCCTCTGCCCCGGCCCGACCCCACCTCTGGGAGGCTGACCAGGTGGTCCCCGATGGGCCAGGTCTGGAGGAGGCCGAGGAGGAGGAGGGGGAAGGGGGGGCGGGTCTATACGGCTAGGGCCGCCTTCCTGGACCCTTAGCTGCAAACCGTGGATTGAGTTTGGGGGGGTCTCCCAGCTTTTCCCTGTCTCTTTGGACTGAGGCAAACCTTAAGTGCCTTTTAGGTGGGGGGAAGTGTGCTGTGTGCACATCCGTGTGGCCTGGCTGCTCAGGGAGCTGGCCCTGTCCCAGGGGCTGGGGACAGAGCCATGAGCGAGGGACACCGAACTCCCCACTCACAGCTCCTGAGCTGACAACAGGTCCTGTTGCCTTTGGAACCGTCCCCTTTACAACCACCCTGCTGCCTTTGAACTTGCACCTTTCAGAAAAGGGAAGCTTCTCTGTGCCAAAGGCTCCAGGCCTCTCGCCTGCAACTCAGGGAGATGCGCTCCCAGCCGCTGCAGCCTCTCGATGAGGGGCTGCTCCTTCTGCGCCTGAGCCCAGCCCTCGTGAGGCCGGTTCTCATCTAACTCAAGCTGTGGTTGGAGGTGAGGGCTCAGGCCTGTCTGCCCTGGTCGCCCCTGACCTGAGCACCAAGGCGGGGGGGGACAGGATTCGGTGGGGCCTGTCCCACAGTCACCTGCAATGTCCCAGGCCCTGTGCTGGGGACGCGTGGGGTCCAGGACCCAGCCAGTGCTCTGGGTTTGGACACCATGAGTGTGTAATTTTACTCTGTGCCTGGTAAAGGAGACTGTGCAATACTTCTGTGTCTGTGAGACTTCTCTATCTTCCTCCCACCTCTTACTGGTTTTCCCTGCCTTCAAAACTGGCCCCCAGGGCTGGTATTGGGATACAGTGGGTTAAGCCACAGCCTGCGACGCCAGCATCCCATATGGGCACTGGTTCAAGTCCTGGCTGTTCCACTTGTGATCCAGCTCACCGAGAAAGCAGTAGAAGATGGCCCAAGTGCTTGGGTCCCTGCCACCCACGTGGGAGACCCAGAGGCAGTTCTGGGCTCTGGGCTTCACCCTGGACCAATCCTGGCTGTTGCAGTCATCTGGGAATGGAAGATCCCTTGTCACTCTGCCTGTTGAATAAAATAAATCTGAAACAAAAGCGGCCCCAGTGAAGGGCCAGCGTCCTGGGTCATGTCTACACCGCAGCTGAGGGGTTTGGAGAATGGATTCCTGCAGCCCAGTCTTCTTCCAGCACTCTCTCCCCTCCTTCCCAAGGCAGTGATGGCTCAGTGGCCGTGTTGTTTCTGAGTCAGAGAGGCTTAACCAGGAAAGCAAGCTGTTTCACGGAGCAGAAGTCAGCAGACGGTGTGGACTTCAGTGCTGGTCTGTTCGGCTCTCAGAACTGCTGAGCCCAGGCTCCTCCTCTGTCTGCTCTGTCGTCTCTGGCGACGGCTGGTGCAGTGGCTGCTGCGGTTGCCAGGGTCACGATAGAGAGCCTCCTGCCCAGGGGAAGAGGGGGGCGACTTTGCATCGCTTGAGAACTTGTGCCCTGGTGTCAGGCTGCCCGATTCAAGTCCTGGCTCCAGCACTCACCAGCTGTCTGACCCTTGGCAAGCTTCTTTTTAAAATAATTTGAAATTTGTTTTATTCGAAAGGCAGAGGGACAGAAATCTTCCATCTGCTGATTCACTCTCCAAATGTCTGCAACAGCCAGGAGCCCAGAACTCAATCCAGTTCTCCCACATGGGTGGCCAGATCCCAACCACTTAAGCCACCTGCTGCCTCCCAGGAAGGAAGCCAGGGACTCAGGGGCTCCAACCAGTGGCTTAGCTGCTGCACCGCCGCCTGCCCTGAGGAGGGAGCCTCTGACAGGGCAGCTCAGATGCCCTGTGAACACTGCCCGCCTAGAAACGTAAAATCCACTTTCCCCTTAGCCAGGGCTGGGTGGAGCCACACCCCTGCCCCAGGTAGTAAGGGCTTTCCGCTTCCATTGGTGTTCTCTGAGTCAGCCTGATCTAAGAGTTTTACAACCTCTCACTGGGAGGGAGGGAAATTCAACTGAGGATTCCCTCTGCTACTGGGAGGTAAACAGGATCCACATGGCCTGTCCCGCCCCTCATCACTTAGCAATCCAGCAACCATCACTGAATGCCTGCCGGGGGGGGGGCACCAGCAAGGCACCCACGCAGAGCCTCCCACGGGCGCTATCACACCTGCTGTTAGTTCCTTGCAGCAGTGACAGGATCACATCTCCTAGCCATCCCCCCCATCACATGACAAGTTCTGACCAATGGTGTGCAGGCTGAAGTGTCGGGGAGGTGGGGCTCACTTCCCTGCCCACCTGCTCCCTACTGCAGCCGTCTGGAGGCTCCAGTTCCCGGCGAAAAGTAGATGTGGACCACCAGATCCGCGTGGAGCAGGGGCGAGCTTCCCATGCTAAGTTTCTGAGATGTGGAGTTTGTCGGTGTTCATTACAGGACCAAGGAAAATCTGCCCCTGGTGGAAAAGCTGTGTCAGGGTGTGGCAAAACCAACGCCTGAACTTGCTAGTTTCTAGGGGGGCAGCAGATGGGTGGGCTCATCAGGGTTCCGGGGCGGTGGGTGGGCGGGCTCGGCCGGGTCCCGCACACCTGCAGGCAACCTGGCCACCAGCGTGACCCCCCCCTTGCTGCACGTGCTCTTGTCCTCCAATAGGCTTAGCCTCAGCCCTTCACGTGGTGGTCTCGGGGATTCAAAAGGCAAAGGAGTGGGAGGCGCTTAGCCTGGAGGCCTGCGTTCCGTTACCAGCTCTTGCTTCTGTCTCCAGCTTCGCACTAATGACTCAAATAACTGGGTCCCTGCCACCCATGTGAGAGATTTGGGCTGAGTTTCTGGCTCCTGGCTCTGGCCCAGCCCCACCTGATAGACATTTTAGATAGTGAACCAGCAGCTAGGAGCTTGCTCGCTCTTTTTTATTTTAAAGATTGATTTATTTGAAAGTCAGAGGTAGAAAGAGAGGTCTTCCATCCACTCACACCCCAGAGGGCTGCAATGGCCAGTGTGGGCCAGACCAAAGCCAGGAGCTTCATCTGGGTCTCCTATGTGGGTGGTAGGGGACTGAAAACTTGGGGCATTTTCCGCTTTTTCCAGGCCATTAGCAGGGAGCTGGATTGGAAGTAGAGCAGCCAGCACACAAACCCGCGGGCCTCTATGGGATGCTGGCGTTACAGGCGGCAGCTTTACCCCCACACCACAACGCCGGCCCCAGGAGCCCTCTCGGTCTCTCTCTCTCAGTCTGCCTGCCTCTGAAATGGAGAGAGAAACTTCAGGGGCAGGAATTTGGTGCAGGAGTTAAGGCGCCGCTTGGGACACCTGCACCCCCATCAGAGTGGCCGGGTTCAGTCCTGGTTCTACTCCCGATCCCAGCTTCCTGCTGATGGGCACCATGGGGGGCTCGAATTCTGGGGGCCCCCTGGTCCCCATGGGAAACACGGCTTGAGTTCTGGACTCCTGGTTACTTGGGAGGAATGTTGAGGTTATCTGGGGGAATAAACCAGTGGATGGAAGATCTGTGTCTTCCAAATACAACTGAAAATAATTACAATTTAAAGAATGAGGTCTAAACAAAAATGAACAACATCTGTCTGCAGGCCACTGAAAAGCAGCAGCTGTCAAACTTGGCTTCTCAGACACCCCAGAACTTCACCATGCCTGATGCCCACCCAGCCCCAGGCATTGCCCGTTAGCTCCCCTGCCATGTGGCCTGGGCATCAGAGGTGTCCAGATGGTCCAGGTGAGGACCATTGTCTTAAGGGCTCTTTCAGGCCAGATGAAAGCTGGCGCTCCGTTAGCTCATTTAACCTACAGCTCACGCACCTGTCGCACATCAGGAACTGCCCTAGACAAAAAACAGCAGTGAGCAACACGGAAGTCTGCCCTCTGGAAGCAGAAAACAGACCAAGAGGCAAGATACATATTCACAGTAACACATGCTGAGAGCGGCAACTGAAGCCAGCGTGCGGGTGTCAGGTTCAGGTGGGGCGGCCAGGGGAGATTGAGGAGAGACCAAGATCAACGAGGAGCAAGCATACAGACTCGCATCTGGGCTATGCGAGGGGGTTCCTGTTCCGGGACCCAGGGGGCCAGTGGCGCTTGAGTGGGGGGGGAGGGGGCAGTAGTCAGAGGCGTAGTAGGGGGCGAGGCAGGCCTCAAAGACACTTCGCTTTTCCTGTAGTCGCACCGAAGTATTTGAGTGTGGGGCGTGACATGGCTTGATTGACATTTCAACAGGCCTGTCGGGTAGCAGTGGGCGGGAACGGGCTGGGCAGTGGAGAAGCAAGGCGCCCAGTGATGCCGGTCCCCGGACCCCGAAATAGCAGAGAACTGAGCACAGGTGCAGCGAGAGGAGGCGACGGCTCCTGGATCCACTCTGCAGGTGCAGCCCGCGGGATCTGCGGAGCCACGGGATGAGCAAAACTAAAAGGGGCGGGATGCTGGGGGCACGCAAAGGGTTGCCAGCCTTTGCTGAGAATGCAAACCTCACCCATGGCCCCGTGGAGAGGTGAGGGTCGCCGCTAGAGGCAGCGTCCGTCCCGGTGTGCCGGCCGCCCGAGGGGACAGGTGCGAGCCAGGGCTCACAGAGCGCCCGCCCCGCCCCCGCCGGCCAGGCCCCGGCCCCGCCCCCCGCGAGGCCCAGGAGTCGGCGCTCAGCCCCGGGGTACGGGACGGGGTCGCCTGGGGCCGGGGTCCTGAGCCCCCGGGACCGCTCGGTGGGGTCGGGGACGCCAGGGACGGACAGCCCGGGTGTCTGCGGCCGCTGACCGGGGATCCAGCTGAGCTGACAGCTTTCCGGGCCTGAGCCGGCCCACTTCCGGGGCCGCCGCTTTCACTTTCTCTTCCGCCCAGGCGGCGCCCCTCCCCCTCCTGGTTCTGTCAGCGGCGCCTCCGGGAGGGGCCGGGGTCGGGCTGCGGGGAGTAGTGGGGTCCCCGCCGCCCGCACCCCTCTCGCCCGTCGCTGGCTCGCCGCCGCCGCCGCGCTTGCACCGCCCCGGGCGGGGTGCGGCCCTCGACCCCGACTCCCGCCCGGGCCGCCGAGGCTCCCGCAGAGTGTAGGCCGCCCGCCGGGCCCTGAGCCGCTCCTGGTCCCCTGCGCTCCCCCAGGTGACCGAAGGCAGCGATTCCCCGGAGCCACGGCCCCCTAGGGGGGATGGGTGCAGCCGCCCCCGATGGACGAGAAGACCAAGAAAGGTGGGCGCGGCGTGGGGCCTCGGGCGGGACCCTGCCTTGCCTACGCAGAAGGGCCTGGAGACGGGGCTCCCGCCCGCCCTCGGCCCACCTGCCCCTGCAGTTCCGCCCTTCGGGCCTCGAGGCCCTGAGCCGGCTCTGCTCCGGGAGCGGGGTGGGGGTTTCCCGAGGACGCAGAGCCCTGAAGGGGACGACCTCGCCGACCGGGGCCCCGGCGTGCTGCCGCTCCTGCCCTCACCCCCTCGCTCCGCCTCCCTTACTGCTGTGCCGTTAAAGCCCCCGGCCCGGCCTGCGGGCCTCGGGGACCCCCCAGCCTGCCGGGCTCAGCCCCGGGCTCCCTCTGCCGGCATTTCTGTTTACGTCCGGCATTTCTCGCCCGAGGCCTTTCCCCCCCTCCCCCACCGGGCGCCCTTTCCACCTGCTCCTCCCCCAGCGTTACTCTCCCGAGCCCCTGGAGAGCGGGGGTGGGGGGGAATGGGTCCCAGTAGCCTGGGGGAGGGAGAGTCCCAGCAGGCCCCGAAAGAGATGGACCTGGAAGCCGGCTGTCGAGGGATGTGTGGGGGTTCGCCAGGAAGCGGCAGGGACTCCTGCCCCCCTCCCCCACCCCGCTCCGGAGAGGATCCCGTGCTAACCTGTGCCTGCTGTGCTGGCCCTCAGCCGAGGAGATGGCGCTGAGCCTGGCCAGGGCAGTGGCGGGCGGCGATGAGCAGGCGGCTGTGAAGTGTGCCACCTGGCTGGCGGAGCAGCGGGTGCCCCTGCGCATGCAGCTGAAGCCTGAGGCCTCCCCCACAAAGGACATCAGGTGAGCCGCGCGGCCCGCGGGGCCCAGGCCTCGGCTTCCCCAGCCGCTGTTGGCACCCGCACATGCTGGCCTGTAGAAAAGTTACTCCTGGTGGCAGGCGCTGAGGCCGGGAAACCTGGTTTCATTTAATTTCTTTTCTTGTTCTTCCTTTTTTTGTTTCCTCTCCTTTTCTTTCTCTTAAAAAAAAATACTTGAAGGGGAGAGTGAGAGGTGGATGGGGAGAGACAGATCTTCCATCCGCGGGTTCTCTCCTCAGGTGATGGCAGTGGCCGGGGCTGGACCAGGCCAAAACCAGGAGCCTGAAGCCCCGTCTGCCTCTCCCATGTGGGTGCAGAGGCCTAAGTGCTTTCGCAGCACGTTAGCAGGGAGTGGGATGGGAGTGGAACAGCCAAGACTCGAACCACTGCCCTGATACAGGGCCGCCGCTTAGCCGTGTACCACAGGGCTGGCCTGAGACTTGGTTTTTTTTTTTTTAAAGATTTATTTGAGAGGGAGGAGTTAACAGAGAGGTCTTCTATCTGCTGGTTTACTCCCCAGACAGCCACAATGATCAGAGCTGGGTCAAGCCTAAGCCAGGAGCTTCCTCTGGATCTCCCACGTGGGTGCAGGGGCCCAAGCACTTGGGCCATCTGCTGCTTTCCCAGGTGCGTTAGCAGGGATGCTGGCTTGGAAGTAGAACAGCTGGGACTTGAACTGGCGCCTCTATGGGAGGCTGGTGCACAGGCAGAGGCTTAACCTACTCTGCCACAGTGACCGCCCCCATCCCCACCCCCACCCCCACCCCCACCCCCTGGTTTCAAACCCAGGTGTGTTGCACATCAACTGAGACACAGGGCAGGGCACCTGCCCTCTGAGCACTTAGATTGTCTGGTAAATTGGGATGATAATGAACTGTCTTGAGGCTGTGAGGACACGCACTGGCATGGCTGGCCTGTGACAGAACAACACCGTGGTGGCATAAACAAGTCTGGTGGCCTGGGGCCGGCACTGTTTTGTAGTAAGTTAAGCCTCTGCCTGCAGCACTGGCCTCCCACATGGTGTCAGTTCACATCCCGCACGCTCCAATTCTGATCCAGCTTTCTGCTATGGCCTGGGAAAGCGGTAGAAGATGGCCCAAGTGCTTGGGCCCCTGCACCCACGTGGGAGACCCAGAGAAAGCTCCTGGCTTCGATTTGCCCAGCTCTAGCTGTTGTGGGCATTTGGGAGGTGGACCAGCAGACGGAAGACCTCTGTCTCCCTCTCTCTCAAATCTTCAAAAAAACAAACAAACCTGTAGGCAGGCGGTCCGGGTGGAGGCTGTGTTCCTCTTTGTCCTCGGAGGCTCAGGCTGCTGCTGCCTTCTGCCATTCATGGTCTTCATTCTGAGATTCACCTCATGGTCCAAAGTGGCTGTCCCAACCCCAGCCATCACACAGAAGGGAAGACTCCCCTGAAGAGCATAACTCAGAAGTCGTACCTGCTTTTCCCTCTCACTTCCTGTGGCTGTGGAGCAGGACTTACTCTCACACTTCCTTGGCTGGATGCGGGGCTGTGCGGTGCAGTGGTGCATCCCACAGGAATTCAGAACAGCTTCTGCCAGGGGAGGCAAAGGCGAACACGTTCTGCCGTCTGCACCCTGGGAGACCTGAACCTGATGCTGAAATGCTTAGCACAGTCCTGGCAGAGTCACCCGTTGGTGTTGCCGCCTGGGGTTTTTGTCCCCTCTCCCCCCTCCTTTTTTTTTTTTTTTTTAATATTTATTTGAAAGTCAGAATTACCCAGAGAAAGAGAGGCAGAGAGGTCTTCCATCTGCTGGTTCACTCCCCAATTGGCTGCAACGGGCAGAGCTGCGCCGATCTGAAGCCAGGAGCTTTTTCTGGGTCTCCCATGCAGGTACAGGGGCTTAAGGACTTGGGTCATCATCTTCTACTTTCCCAGGCCACAGCAGAGAGCCGGACTGGAAGTGGAGCAGCCAGGACTCGAACCGGTGCCCGGTGCCCATATGGGATGCCGGCACTGCAGACAGTGGCTTTCCCTGTTATACCACAGTGCTGGCCCCTTCCCTGCCTTTTTTTATAAGCTATGTAATAGCAGTAGTTTTAGTTTCTGATTCTCAGTTCTCCACATGGAGAATTTGATTTTTTTCCCACATTCTGTGGAGGTCAGACTCGCATCCTACAGCTCGGCCATTTCGGGCAAATCGTTCAGTGACCTCCTTCAGTTTACTGAAAGCTGTGCACCGGGTACCATGATCCCTTTTGGAGCCTTTTCGTCCTCTCAGAAGGAAACGGTGCACCCGGTTACTCCGGTCCCCTCCTCAGCCTCCAGCCCCAGGGAACCACGCACCTGCTTCATAGCTAGGGCTTTGCCAGCTCTGGAGATTTCACACAAGAGGAACTGGGACATGTGGCCCTTTGGGGTCTGGCTTCTTTTTACTGTGCATCAAGTTTTCTAGATTCATATGTTGCATACATCATCTTAAAAAGTAAATAGATTTTAAAATCTACGTATTTTCCTGTTATTTGAAAAATCTTCCATCCCTAATTCATTCCCCTAACACCCACAACAGCCAGGGCTGGACCCGGCTGAAGTCAGGAGCTAGGAACTCCATCTGGTCTCCCAGACGGGTATCAGGGGCCCACATTCTCGAACCATCACTGCTGCCTCCCAGGGTGCTCATTAGCAGGAAGCTGGCATCCAAAGCAGAGCCGGGACTTGAACCCACGCTCTCCCGCATAGAATGCCGGTGTCCTGAGCTCGGCCTGCCCATAGAGCGTCATTCTGAATAATCGTCCAGGGGCCTGTGCTGTGTTAAGCTGCTGCCTGCAGTGCTGGCTCCTCCACTTCCAATCCAGCTCCCTGCTAATATGCTTGGGAGGGCAGTGGAAGATGGCCCAAGTGCTTGGGCCCCTGCACCTGTATGGGAGACGGGGAAGAAGCCCCTGGCTTCCGTCTGGCCCAGCCCAGGCAGTTGTGGTCATCTGGGGAGTAAACCAGCAGGTGGAAGATCTCTCTCTCTCTTCCTGTCTCTGTAACTCTTTCAAACAATTAAATTAAATCTTTAACAAATTGCCTATTGGCAACTTTTGAAAAAAATCATCCGTTGTGTGGACACTGCATTTCATCCTCCATTCATCGGTTGATGGACATGTGGGTTGTTTCTGTTCTGTTATGAATGATGTTGCCATGAACATTTGTGTCCACGTTTTAACATGGACATGTTTTTATCTCAAGTGGAATTCCTGGACCATATGGTGACTGTTTAACCATTGGAAGAGCTGTCAGATTGTTTTTCAAAGTGGTTGCACTGGGGCTGGAGTTGTGACATAGCGGGTAAAGCCACTGCCTACAGTGCCAGCATCCCATATGGGCACTGGTTCAAGACCACTCCACTTCCAATCCAGCTCCCTGCTAATGACCTGGGAAAGCAGCAGCAGATAGTCCAAGTGTTTGGGCCCCTGCACCCACGTGGGAGACCCAGATGAAGCTCCTGGCCGTTGTAGCCATCTGGCGAGTGGTCCAGGGGATGGAAGATCTCTCTGTCTCCCCCTCTCTGTAACTCTCACTTTCAAGTAATTCTTTTTCTTTTTTTTTTTCTTTTTTGACAGGCAGAGTGGACAGTGAGAGAGAGAGACAGAGAGAAAGGTCTTCCTTTTGCCGTTGGTTCACCCTCCAATGGCCGCCGTGGCCGGCGCACCGCGCTGATCCGATGGCAGGAGCCAGGAGCTTCTCCTGGTCTCCCATGGGGTGCAGGGCCCAAGCACCTGGGCCATCCTCCACTGCACTCCCGGGCCACAGCAGAGAGCTGGCCTGGAAGAGGGGCAACCGGGGCAGAATCCGGCGCCCCAACCGGGACTAGAACCCGGTGTGCCGGCGCCGCTAGGCGGAGGATTAGCCTAGTGAGCTGCGGTGCCGGCTTCAAGTAAATTTTAAAGACAACAAAGTGGCTGCACCATTTTACATTCCCACTGGGAGAGTGTTCAGGGCGCCAGCTTCTCCAGACCCTCTCCAGCACTACTTGTCTTTGATTATAGTCCTCTGAGTCTGGAGGGGGTAGCTTTAGCTTAGTGTGTGTGTGTGTGTGTGTGTGTGTGCTTAAGATTCATTTATTTGAAAGGCAGAGCAACAGATTTTCCATGCGCTGCTTTGCTCCCCAGATGCCAGTAACAGCCAAGGCTGGGTCAGACCGAAGCCAGGAGCCGGAAACCCCGTCTGGGTTGCCCACGTGGGTGGCAGGGGCCCCAGTACTTGGGCCATTACCTGCTGCCTCCCAGGGAGTAGATTAGCAGGAAGCTGGATTGGAAGTGGAGTAGCCAGGGCTCAAACCAGGTGCTCCGAGAGGGCTGTGGCGGGATGCCGATGTATCCAGCAGGGATTTAACTGCCGTGTCCCCGGCCTGGGCCAGCAGTCACTTTTTAATGTTGAAAACCTCCGCCTCATTCCCCAGTTGCTTCCGGTCTCTTCCTTATTGGAAGCGGTGTGTTCCCAGCCTCGCTGAAGGACCCAGCTAGGCTTTGCAGCCCTGCACCCTAAATCATCTTTACCTTAGCTCTTCCTCTCCTGCTCTTCACCTGCCTGAAGTGTTGGCGGGTCTTTGAGGAAGTCGGTGTTAGACCACTTCCCCTGTCTCTGTGGAGTCCGCCCTCCAGCGGTCATCGCCTGCTTTCTTGGGTGGAGACCCCAGCACCTATCTGCGCCCCATGGTCTTAGCTGTAGAAAGGGGGTGCGCAGCAGTGCCACCTGCCTCGGGGGTTCGTTGCAAGGACTGAGTTAATGTTAAGTGTGAGGAAGATTCCTGGCCGTAGACAGCTGGGCCTGGGAGTGTGGCTGCAGTGTGGGGGAGGAGGTAGTGCGGGGTGCCGAGCCGCAGGGTTTGGCTTGTCCCAACAGCAGTGGGGAGCCAGTGAGGGGGGTAAGCTGTAGATTCTAGCACAGGAGGGGTTCAGGGGCGTGGGAATCCAGGGCAGCCCCTCCCCAGACTGAAGCCCACGTGCAAGCAAGGACTCCTGTGCAGCCTTGCCCTTCCTTCCCCCAGGCTGTGGGTGAGCGTGGAGGATGCGCAGATGCACACGGTCACCATCTGGCTCACGGTGCGCCCCGACATGACGGTGGCTTCCCTCAAGGACATGGTGAGAGCGGTGCCTTCGGCCTGTCCTCAGCCCCCGGCCCCGCCTCCCGCGCCTCCGCCCTCCCCGCCACTGCCGTCTGTCGGTGCCCCGCCAGGTGTTCCTGGACTACGGCTTCCCACCCGTCCTGCAGCAGTGGGTGATTGGGCAGCGGCTGGCACGAGACCAGGAGACCCTGCACTCGCATGGGGTGCGGCGGAACGGGGACAGCGCCTACCTGTACCTGCTGTCGGCCCGCAACACCTCGCTCAACCCTCAGGAGCTGCACCGCCAGCGGCAGCTGCGGATGCTGGAAGGTGAGCCCCGTCCTCAGCAGGAGACGCCCACCGGGAGCACCGAGGGCCGCTGGCGTGGGAGGGGCCAAAAAACCTGGACTATAAACCCCGTGACGCTTTGCCATGGACACCCCCGGTGTGAGCGTTTCCTTCACGAGAAACGTGGTCCACTCCCGTTGCCACGGTCACGCCCCCGTCCCGCAGGTCGGCTGGGATGTGGTTACCCCGCCTGTAGAGTTCGCTGGGCTCTGCCAGCCGGCCTGCCGCTGTCCTTCAGACGTAGAATTTGGCTATGGGGCGCGGCTCCGTCCCCGTCATCCCTGCCGGCCACGGGCCTCCCGGCTCTGCCCTGACGCAGGGCGTCGGTGTCCCACGCTTCCTCTTCTACGGTTCCGAGTCAGGACCGCCCCCTACCCCCAGGCTCACCGGAGGTGCAGGATGGTGTGACACGGGGTCTTATGGGAGCAGCAGGGCCCTGACCCCGGCAGGCTGGGCCTGGGGACCTAGGGAGGAGGGAGGCCTGTGGGCTGGCTGGGGAGTGGGCCGCACGGATCTGCCAACCTTCACCTTGTCTGCAGATCTGGGCTTCAAGGACCTCACGCTGCAGCCAAGGGGCCCCCTGGAGCCGGCCACCCCGAAGCCAGCAGCCCCCCAGGAGCCAGATGCAGTCCCTGAGCCCCCGCCGGTAAGCAGCCTCCGTGGCCCTCCTCCCTGGCCCGTGCCCCGCCCTGTCTGGCTCACGTTCCCTGTGCCCCCAGGTGGGCTGGCAGTGCCCGGGGTGCACCTTCATCAACAAGCCCACGCGGCCTGGCTGTGAGATGTGCTGCCGCGCGCGGCCTGAGGCCTACCAGGTCCCTGCCTCGTACCAGCCGGATGAGGAAGAGCGAGCGCGCCTGGCGGGCGAGGAGGAGGGGCTGCGCCAGTACCAGCAGGTGGGCACGGGAGGCCCGGGACGGGCACCTGCACCCCGGGCTGGGGAGGGAGGCGCCTGTGCACTGCCGCTGTCCCGTTCCGCCTTGCCTGCTCATGCTGCCGCTGTGACCCTGCACTGGACTGTGGCCATGTTCTCGGTCACCTCTGGCTGAGGCCCACTCCCTGGCTGTGACACAGCCCCACCTTTGTGTGGCTGCAGCTCCCCTCGTTTTGATACACACTCCCCCATGTACATAGATGCATCCCTGGCCATGACCCTGGCATGCCTCAGCCTAGACCTCATCCCCATCTACCTGTGACCTGGCTCCCACTGTACCCGCACGACCTCACCCTGGACCTCCTCCTCCTGACCCCGCCCTCCCTCATCCCTTCCCCCTCCCCTCCAGCATGACCCACTCCTGCCTTCCTGGGACCTGCCCTGTGGTGGCACTGGCAGACTGCATCGGGCCAGCTCTCGTGCCTGCCCTTCCTGTGGACACGGGCTCTGCCCGCTGTACCCACCGTGACCACTCCGCGGCGCACCCGCAGCCTCGCTCTGCTCTGGCTTCGCCACCTCACCGTTCCCCCGCTCTCCCCTGGGCGCAGCCCCGCCCCACCCCTTCCTGACCCCGTCTGGCCCTCTGCCGTCTCTCGTCTCCACCTCCTTCCCGGCCCTGCTCCCAGCCCCACTCCCACCTCCTGGCCAGTCCCAGCCTGACCCCAGGCCTGGCCCCGCCCCTGTGCCCAGCGGAAGCAGCAGCAGCAGGAGGGGAACTACCTGCAGCACGTCCAGCTGGAGCAGAGGAGCCTGGTGCTGAGCGCCGAGCCCACCGAGTGCCCCGTGTGCTACTCGGCGCTGGGGCCCGGCGAGGCCGTGGTGCTGCGGGAGTGTCTGCACGCCTTCTGCAGGTGCGCCCGCCCCGGCACACAGGGCTGAGTGTGGGGGGGGCCCTGCGCTCTCACAGCTCCTTGGGCGCTCACAGAAACCTGGAGGAGGTACCCTCTGTCTCCCCATTTTACATATGAGATAGGTTCAGAGAAGCCAAGCAACTAACCCCAGGCTGCACAGCTCCTAGAGGAGCCCGGAGAGGATGCTGGGTACTCTGGCTCCCTTTCCCACTGAGCTTTGGGGGCAGGCAGGCCACCGCTCTGAGGCCACTGCCCTGGCCCCCCGCCCCACGCGGAGGGAGTGTGTGTGTCCATCCGCCACAGCAGACTGGAGAGCCCTGGCTGCCGGGCTCGCCCAGCGCCTACCTGGGGATGACGTGGGTCAGCTGTCACCGATGTGCCAGCTGCTATAACAGGGATCCTAGCACAGGCCACAGCCCGCCTGGGAGGCAGCCCTGGAGCAGAGGGGTCCTCGTGGCCAGAGCGGGAGGACCTGGGGAGGGCGTGGCTGCCAGGCTGAGAGCCCCGCTTGGGGGCTGGCAAGGGGAGGTGGGGAGAGTTGAGGAGAAGCCCGCCAAGTCCAGGTCTCACGCCCCCCCTCCCTCTGCTCCGCAGGGAGTGCCTGCAGGGCACCATCCGCAACAGCCAGGAGGCCGAGGTCTCCTGCCCCTTCATTGACAACACCTACTCGTGCCCGGGCAAGCTGCTGGAGCGGGAGATCCGGGCGGTACGGCGGGCCCGGGCCCTAAGTCTCGCTCCGCTGGGGGGCCAGGGGCGGGTGGCTTCCTCCCTGGGGGAGCCGGGGCCCCAGGCAGGACCAGCCCAGAGAGAAGCCGTCCTTGTGGAGACCCGGGCCGGGCCAGGGGTGTGCTGCAGCCCGATGGCCTGGCCCCGTGACCGGGAGTCAGGCCCCTGCCCTCCGTGTGCGGTGTCTTACCGCCTGCCTTTCCGTTTCAAGAGTTGTGACGATGGCAGTGAGGGGCGTGCGGCAGGAACCCAGAGCGGAGTGACACGGAAGGCCCTTGCAGCAGCTGTTCCCGGGCAGCAGTGTCGCTCGCGGTGGCTTAGGACAGCAGCTGCCTGCTCGGCTCACGAAGCTGCAGGGCGGCCCTTTGGTTGGGCTTAGCTGGCAGCTTGCGTGGCGGCCTGGTTTAGGGTGGTCTCGGCTGCTGTGGCTGGGCGGTGGCCGGGCCCGTGCACCTGCTCCCATGCTGGTCGCAGGGGCCTCAGCTTGGCTGTAGGGGAGCCCCTGTGCTTCCCACCTGCTGCCCCCAGGTAGATGCGACCCTTCCTCTTGGCTACAGCAAGTCACACCTCGAGGCCAGCATCCGGGTGGGAGGGCCCTGCCCAGGGTGTGGACTCAGGGCCACAAGGACCAGAATCTGCTGAGGGGACACGCATCAGTGGCTGGAGCTCACACTCGGGGCTTCGAGTGTGGAGGGGCAGGGAGCAGCAGAGCGATGCAGGAGTGGATGCCTGTTTTAAGGTTTATTTATTTGAGAGGCAGAGCGACAGAGATCTTCCATCCACTGGTTCACTTTCCAGGTGCTCACAACAGGCAGGTGTGGGCCAGGGAAAAGCCAGGAGCTTCTTCTGGGTCTCCCACATGGGTGCAGGGGCCCAAGGACTTGGCCGTCCTCCACTGCCTCCCCAGGTGCATCAGCGGGGAGCTAGATTGGAAGTGGGGCGGCTAGGGTACACACTGGCGCCCCCTCTTAAGTGGAGTGTTTGACTAGAAGGGTTAGGTTAGTCAAGAGCAGAGCCTGGGACTTGGCTGGGGGTGTCCGGGGGGACGCTTGGTGCAGAGGACCATAGGTCAGGTGCTGGGAACCCCAAGTGACAAGGCTGCGATGTGTCCCAGCTCCTGTCCCCCGAGGACTACCAGCGCTTTCTGGACTTGAGCGTCTCCATCGCCGAGAACCGCAGTGCCTTCAGCTACCACTGCAAGACCCCGGACTGCAAGGGCTGGTGCTTCTTCGAGGATGACGTCAACGAGTTCACCTGCCCTGTGTGTTTCCATGTCAACTGCCTGCTCTGCAAGGTAGGGGCGAGACCCACTGCTCACTGCTCGGTGCCTGCTGTCCTGGGCGGAGCTGTGCCACTGGCTGGTCACAGCTAAGAGCTGCATGGCAGCCGGAGCCTGGCTTGGGCCTGAACCACGTCGCAGCCCTGGCCTCACACGCAGCCTCAACCCTGGGCCGAGCCCGGTTCTGGCCCCAGTCCTAGGCTGTGCCTCAATCCCAGGCTAGGTTCCGACCCACCCAAGTCCCAATCCTTGCCACGCGCCAGGCCTGACCCTGATGTGAACCAGGCTCTATAGCAAAATCCTCCTGTTCCCGTGCCAAGCCTGGTCCCTGGCTCTGACTGGACCTTAGTCTCAGTCCCAGCCCAGACCCCAAGGCTGGCTCCAGGCTGAGTCTCGACCCTTGTCCTGAAGTGAGCTGTGCCCCCCCGCCTCCCCCCACCCCAGCCAGACTGAGCCCCGCCGGATTCTTCTCCCAGGCAGCTCCCTGGCCCAGCCACCTCAAAAGCTGGCTGAGGTGAGGAGCAGGCCGGCAGTTTGGGTATCCGGGTAGTCTCAGCCGAGCAGGTGTAGTCCCTGAGCCCTGGGCAGAACCAGGGTGGGGGCCTAAGGCCTGGGGCTCAGGGGGAGCTGCCCAGGCGGGGCTTCAGAGGTACAGAGTCTCACCCTGGGTGACGACCTTGGCTCCACCTCCCCAGCCTTAGTGTCCTCTTCTGTAAAGTGGGTGTGTGGACAGGAGGCGAAGCCCTGTCACTGACGGTATCTAGAGGCCTTGAGTCCACGGGGCCGGTGTTGTGCAGTGGGTTAAGCCACCGCCTGCAGTGCCGGATGCCCCTATGGGTGCTGGTTCGCATCCCGGCTGCTCCACTTCCAGTCTAGCTCCCTGCTAATGTGCCATTTGCGGCCATTCGGGGAGTGAACCAGCGGGCTGAAGACTTCTCTTTCTGTCCCTCTGTAACTAACTTCCAGATAATAAGTCAGTCTTAAAAAAAGTGGGGGGAGGGGCAGAGAGATTTTTCCATTGCTGGTTCATTCTCCAGATGGCTGCAATGGCCAGGGCCGGGGCAGGCCCAAGCCAGGAGCCTGGAACTCCACGTAGGTCTCTCACATGAGTGGCAGGGGCCTAAGAACCTGGGCTGTCACTTGCTGCCTCCCAGGGAGTGAATTAGTCAACTAGCAGGGAGCTGGATTGGCAGTGGAGCAGCCAGGATGTGGACTGGCGCTCACAGGGGTGCTGGCATTGCAGGCTGTGGTTGGACCTAATGGGCCTGATGCCAGGCCCTCTGCTGCTGCTTCAGTCCCCTGGGGACCTTTCACCTCTGCCCTTTGCCCCCTGCAGGCCATCCACGAGCACATGAACTGCAGGGAGTATCAGGACGACCTGGCCCTGCGGGCGCAGAATGACGTGGCTGCCCGGCAGACGACAGAGATGCTGAGGGTGAGGCTGGGCAGGGCTGAGGGACGCGAGTCCTGGGGGCTTCTGGGGGCTGGGCTTGCTCCGTCTGCAGGCCCTGCCCTCTCTCTGGCTGTCACTCCCAGCCAGTGGAAGGCCTCGGGCCAAGTGGGCAGGTGGTGAGCAGCAGGAAGAGCCTCTGGCAGAGGCCGGGGCCCACGGGGACCTAGGAGCGGGCAGCCCGGGGGGGACTTCACGGCTCCGGGGCGGGGCAGGGGCAGGGTGAGGCGGGCGGTGGCTCCAGCTCAGCGCCTGCTCCGCTCCAGCTGATGCTGCAGCAGGGGGAGGCCATGCACTGCCCGCAGTGCCAGATCGTGGTGCAGAAGAAGGACGGCTGCGACTGGATCCGCTGCACCGTCTGCCACACCGAGATCTGCTGGGTCACCAAGGGCCCGCGCTGGGGCCCCGGGGTGAGTGCGGGGAGAGGGCTGCGGGCAGGGGAGGGCGCCATCCTGGAGGAGGACCTGAGAAACTGCGGCCCCAGGGCCCACTCCAGCACCCCCTCAAGGTCACAGTGTTCTTCATGTCTTTCTGTGGCTGAAAAACTGCCCGGAGGCGAGCAGGGCCGTGTGACAGTGAAACCTGTGCAGCGCCCACGGCTCGGCACCCGTCTGCCTGTCGGCGCTGGCGGCTTTTCCCCCGCAGATCTCAGGACCAGGTGGCCTCCCGGGCTAGGATGCTGGCCCCGTAGGAGGGCGCAGCAAGCAAGGGCTCCACGTGGAGCTGAGGGGTTGGCCCTGGCTCTGGCACATGCTGGCTGCCAGTCACCTCTTCTGGGAAATGGGGATGACAGAATCCAGAGTGTCTGCTGCGGGGCTGTCCGTGCCGGGGCTGTGGTTACCGCATGTGGGGCTGAGCCGCCCTCCCGCCTGCCAGGACAGCAGGGAACACAGGGCCTTTCCCTGCCTGGCTCCGGTGCAGCTAGACCGGGGCCGGGGTTCACGCCTGCTTCCTGGGGGCGGCTGAGGCTCGGAGCTGCTCTTGACAGATGACTGGCAGGGCCAAGGCCCCCACAGCGGGGACACAGCAGGGGGCTGTCCTCTTTGCCCTGACATTCTCTTCACTTCCTCTCACCCTCCAGGGCCCAGGGGACACCAGCGGGGGCTGCCGCTGCCGGATGAACGGAGTTCCTTGCCACCCAAGCTGTCAGAACTGCCACTGAGCCTCAGGGCGGAATCCCCTCGCCCGCCCGGCCCCGGCTTTCCAGGCTGGGGGTGGGGAGGTGCCTGCAGAGGCCCAGGCTCGTGAGCTGTGTGGGCAGCCTTGTCTGGCGGCCATCCGTGGCCATGTGCCCTGTGCCTTTGCCCTCCCCTGGGACTTGCCAGTCTCAGCTCTCAGCTGTCTGCAGCTCCCTGGCCGGAAGCCTTGCTGGGGAGCCTCCTGTGACTCCATGCTGCTCCCTGAGCCCCGGACTGCTGAACACCGGCGCCTGCAGCCTCGTCCCTCCGCCGGCTCTCTGGGGATGGCTTTGCCCTGACTACGCCGTGGGAGGCCGAGGGCCTCTGAGAACTGCTGCTAACCTGTGTCGGGCCAGGAGGGCGGCTGGGTGGGGCCTGAAGCTCAGCCTGGGTCTCCCTCCTGCCCCCACAAGCTGATTAAAGTGGTTTTCCAGGAACGGGTGAGTGTGGTGTCGCTGAGGGGTGACTGTCATGGGCTGGGACCCTGCACAGGTAGGATCCCAGGAGCTCCGAGAACGCCACCAGGAGAGTGATCTGTCGCCCCTCTGATAGGCTGTGGCTGAGCTCTGGGATCTCGTACAGACGAGGGCCAAGGACACTCCTGGGCCAGCACGAGTCCGGCCACGCAGTCTGCAGGTCAGCGTGCGCTTGGCGTGACAGGTGCTGCCCAAGACAGGCAGTCCCACAGTGCCCTCTGAGTGGGCATCCAGGGCTGGCGGCCTAAGACCGCTTGGGACCAGATGACGCTGTGGCCACTGGGGTGATGCTGACCACCCTGACAGCTCAGGCGAGGCAGCCATTACTGCTTCCGCAGTATCCTGATCCACTCTGCTGGGCAGACGCGTGAAACCCGGTGCTTAGATGTCCAAAAACCTGTTCTGTTCTTCCTTTCAGTCCCCGCAGACAGTCCCTTCATTCAGATCACGGGGCCCAGGTGCAGGGCTGGCTGAGGTGTTCATCGGTCAATGAATAGTCACCAAGGGCCAGTGCCGTGGCACACTGGGTTAAGTCACCACCCCATGTCAGGACACCAGTTTGAGTCCAAGCTGCTTTGTTGTCGTTGTTTGCTTCTGCCTCTCTATAACGCTGCATTTCAGAGAGAGGTCTTCCATCTACTGGTTCACTCCCCCAGATGGCTGTGACAGCTGGAGCAGAGCTGATCTGAAGCCAGGAGTTTCTTCCAGGTCTCCCATGCAGGTGCAGGGGCCCAAGCACTTGGGCCATCTTCTACTGATTTCCCAGGACACAGCAGAGAGCTGAAACGGAAGTGGAGGAGGGGCCAGCGCTGTGGCGTAGCAGGTAAAGTTGCTGCCTGCTGTGCCAGCATCCCATAGGGGCGCTGGTTCAAGTCCTGGCTGCTCCACTTCCAATCCAGCTCTCTGCTATGGCCTGGGAAAGCAGTGGAAGATGGCCCAAGTGCTTGGGCCCCTGCACCCACCTGGGAGACCCGGAAGAAGCTCCTGGCGTTGGATTGGTGCAGCTGTTGTGGCCAACTGGGGAGTGAAGCAGCAGATGGAAGAACTCTCTGCCTTTCCTTCTCTTTCAATAAATCTTTTAAAAAAAAGCAGTCAAGACTTGAACCAGTGCCCACATGGGGTGCTGGTACTGCAGGTGGCAGCTTTACCTGCTACATCGCAGGGTAGGCCCCCTGCTCTACTTTTTCCTTCGAGATTTATTTACTTGAAAGTCAGAGTTAGAGAGAGGAGGAGAGGCAGAAAGGAAGAGGTCTTCCATCTGCTGGTTCACTCCCCAAATGGCCGGAGCTGTACCAATTCAGAGCCAGGAGCTTCTTCCGGGTCTCCCACACGGGTGCAGGGGCCCATCTTCCACTGCTTTCCCAGGCCACAGCAGAGAGCTGGATTGGAAGTGGAGCAGCCGGGACTCGAACCGGCGCCCATATGGGATGCTGGCACTGCAGGCAGCAGCTTTATCTGCTACGCCACAGTGCTGGCCCCCTGCTCTGCTTTCAATATGGCTCCTTGCTAATATGCACCTGATGGCCCAAGTTCTTGGGCTCCTGCCACTTGGGAGACCAGGATGGAGTTCCTGCTGGTTGCTGCCCTCAGCCTGGCCCAGCCCTGCCTGTTGGGCCATTTGGGGAGTAAACCAGCAGGCGGAAGGTATCCCCCATCTCTCCCTCTTTGTCATACTGCCTTTCAAGTAGTATTTTTAAATGATTAAAGTTCACAAGGACTGAAGCACCCCTACACTAGCATAACTTCTGTCTGTAAGACATTTTCACAAGTGCCACGTCATGACCCTTCCTGTGGGATGCACCTACTTTACTGTCAAGGACAGTGAGCTCAGAGGCGGTGAGCTCTACACGCTCACAGCCGGGAAGGAAGGCACGCACCCCGGGCCTCCCTCTCATGCATCAGGCCCCCAGCTTTGGTCATGGCCCACAGAGGAGACCCGCATCTCCTTCCAGGACGGCCAAAGCTGCCCCCAGGGGCCCTGCCCACTGCCCCTACCCATACACCCATGGGCGGCTGTATTTTATGCGGCTCCTGGGTGCTGTTTCTCCTGACACCGTCTCGCTGTCCTCGGGAAGTCGGTGTCCTATCCTGCAAGCTAAAGAGCTCAGTGCCACAGGCTGCCCATCTCAGATGCCAGCTATGAGGAACTCGGGGCCTCCCATGATCTCCCCTTCCCCACTTTCACCCTGCTGGGATGACTCGGGGCTCAGAAAACCACCTTAGCTCACTGGTTTATCAGAAGGGACACGATGCTGCAACAGCCAAAGGAACAGACAGGCAAGGCACGGCACGGGGGTGGAACAAGCTGCTCCCCTCCCTGTGTGCACCACCCCCTGCACACCAGGTGGCTCCTGGAATCTGGCGCTGGCTTTTCTACAGAACTCACCTGCCATTGCCCCAACCCCTACATAGGTCAGTGCATGGCCTGCGAGTCCCCGTCTGACCCCTTGACCAGCCCCATCCTGAGGCCTTCTAGGGTCACACCGTAAGTCACCTTGCCAGCGCCAGCTCATAGAGCTGCGAGGGCTTGGGGACCCCTGGGATTTATCCCCGCGCACACCCCTCCTTCCTTCCCTTCTCCATTCCACTCAGTCTTCATACTTAGTCAACTCCCATGAGGCTGCCTTGCCTTTGCCACCAAAAACCAACCGCCCCTTGGCACAGCTCTCTGCTGTGAATTCCCACAGGCAGGACAATGCACTCCACAACTGCCTGAACAGAGGGTAGCTTGGGCCCTGGCCTGTGGGGGTGGGACAAGGTCCAAGAGCAGAGAGCTGCTCAGCCAAGGGCGCCTGCGCACGCCCCACTGGGCCAGGGAACCACGGTGTCTTGTATCCAGGATGGCCCCTCCCCAGGGCAGACGACAGGCATTTGGTGCCACTCCGCACTACTCTCCCCAGTGGCTGGGAACATTAGGAAGACGCTAGAAAGCTTGGCAGAAACAGCTCCTTTGTGCCTGTAGATTACACACGGAGGAAAAGTGCCATCACAACAGGCTCTGGTTAGGCACCAAAATCGAATGCCAAGTCCAGGGCATCCCCAGAGCAGCAGGCGCAGGGGAACTGGGAGCACTGAGGCCGGGTGCCGCCTCAGTCGCCGTCAGTGCCGAGCGCAGGCGCAGCAGGAACGGGACTGCAGCATCGCTCAAGGTCTCCCAGCAAGTCCAGGCCAAGCAGGAGGGCAGGCACCACGGCACAGCCCCAGGCCTGGGCTGGGAGGGGCGAGCTTCAGGGCCAGCTGTGCGAGACCAGTCCACTCCAGCCCGTAGGGGCGCAGACAGAGCCACAGGGAGGTGATTAGCAACCACATATGGCTCTTTATTTCATAGAGGGCTCTGTACAAAATATTTACACGTGTTCTTTACAGAGGCGGCAAACCGACCGAAGGCAAACAGGTAACGCAGTCTGCTCAACGTCATACAACAAGCCACTCGTTTCCTTCTCTGGCCACAACACAAGCAAATGCCACTTATTTCCCGGAATTAAAAAAGCCGTGGCCCCAGGACCCTGGTCCCACACGCGCGTGCAGCCCCTCTCCTGTTCCCCACCAGTTCCTGCAGGATTTACAAACAGGCGTGAGTGTTTGTGGCAGGAGGGGCAGCTTCTGCCGCCCATTTGCAGACAAGAGGGCAGCTCTGCTGAGGGAGGGGACCGCAGCTATGCGCCCACCCCCACTGCTGGCTCCTGGGTGAACTTCCCGTCTTCCTGAATTACCCCATGGACAGCACACCTCCCCCGGGCGGGCCTGCCGCGGAGAACATCCATCACACTGAGCTCTTTGTTGGCTTTAAAGTGCTTCACGGAGGGGCTGGCCTCGTGGCATAGCAGGTTAAACTTCAGCCTGCTGCACCACACCCCGTATGGATGGCCTATTCGTGTCCTGGCTGCTCCACTTCTCATCCAGCTCCCTGCTAACACGCCTAGGAAAGCAGTGGAAGATGGCCCAAGTGTCTGGGCCCCTGCCACCCCGCAGGAGACCCGGATGAAGCTCCTTGCTCTTGGCTTCAGCCTGCCTAGCCCAGCACCAGGCAATTGCAGCCATCTGGGGAGTGAACTAGCAGGTGCAAGATCTCGCTCTCTCCAACTTTCAAAATAATAAATACACCATAAAGGCGGGAGGGGGCTTCGTGGAGCTCGGTGTAGACCCTCTCCCAAGCGCTGCGGGCACAGCGGCAGCCTGGCGTGCCAGCATGCGGAGAGGGGCTCTCCTGTTAGGGAGAGCGCTTCTGCACGTTCACTCTAGGAAGACACCTGCCCAGGAAAATAAGGAAAAGGCTGCTTCCAACTGCATCCAAAGGCACTTCTTCAAGCCAGTTAATCTAACCCACACCTGGCTCCCAGGACGGAGTGGTCCCCTTGTTCCCTGGGGCCTGGAGAGTCCTTGGAAGCCGAGGCTGCTGTCAGGCCCCTGCGAAGCTCTTCAGCCACAGTCTGCCCCATTCCGGGGCTGGTGGGTTTCAAGGACATTTCCAACCACACGGGAGACGGCAGTGAGGCCAAGGGAGTGGCAGGTGCCCGTGTGGGGCAGGCCGCAGGTTGGCAGGCAGCACATCAGGGCCGGCTGTGGAGGGCCCTGCTCTCACCGATGCCAGCTGCCGAGTGCCACCTCCAGGACAGCTTGTCCTTCTCACAAAGCGACGGCTGCTGTCAAGTGGGGCACCTGACATGGGGGTATGGAATTCTAAAAACAGTGATAAAAGATGTCTTGTAAATGATGTGTGGATCGCAGAAGGGAACAGGGAAAACCAATCTGGGTCTAGGGCTTACAAAACGACCACTCTTTCCCACCTGGGCCAGAGACTCGCGACTTCTAGGCTGGACAAGGACTCAGCTGGCCACCCAGCTCCCCTGCATCCCGACTCCTGCCCTCCAGCCAGCGCCAGCGCCCCGCGCCCCGTGCACACCGCTGCTTTCCAAGGCTCGTCTTCTCCGGCAGCGGCAGCTGCTTCCGTGAGTCAGAAGCACACAGCCCGAGACCGGCTGTGGGGCAGTCCTGGCCCGCTTCCTCTTCCTGGGCGCCCACGAGGCTCCGCGGTTAGCAGGGAAGCCCGCGCCCTGCAGGTTCCAGCGGCAGCTGCAGCCCGAGAAACTGACTTCCTCCAACACAAGGGAGCCCGTCCCAGTCCAGGGGAGGCGACAGAGGCCTGCGGCCAGGCCCCAGTGCCCTCGGTGGCGGCCGGGCCGGCGGGCTCTTGTAGCAGCCTCTGAAGCCACGGTGAACACCGACAGGCAGGGAGGGGGCAGAATAGAAAACCCTTGACAGAAACCCTTTTAATAAAGGAAATTCTACCCCTCCCAATCCTTCCACGGAAGGGTGCGACCTCAGTGGAGTGACAGGAAGTGCTGTCCAGCCTTCACGGAAACAGCTGCAGCTGGAACTTGGGGGCCCACTCCAGGGCACTTTTCACCACAGCCAGCGCAGCTGCCCCCAGCGCCACCGTCAGCCCCATCACTGCCAGCTTCACAAAGCGGTTGGTCCTCGGTTTGGTCAGGACGTCTTTTGTTCGCTCCTCAGGCCGCAGGAGCTCCCGGAACCGCTGCCGCAGCACCATATCCGGCCTCTGCTGGGCGGACACCAGCTCGAAGTCTTTGAAGGTAGAGGCTGCCGTCCTACAGGGGAAGGAAACAGAAAAATTGCACAAAAGAGCGAAAAGCTGCACTTAGCAGGAGGAGAGAAGAGCCATCCACTACTCAAGAGAGCTTGTCCTAGGGGCGGTGTTGTGGCGCAGAGGGTAAAGCCACTGCCTGCAGCGCCAGCATCCCACATGGGCGCCAGTTCAAGTCCTGGCTGCTCCTCTTCCAATCCTGCTCTCTGCAGATGGAATTCTGTCTCTCCCTCTCTCAAATAAATTCTTTTAAAAAAAAGAAGGCAAGAAAGCTCTCCTTGGTAGGACTCAGGAGGACTTCTCAGTGGGGATTCCACTGGCACAAGCTCAGATCTCTCCCCTCAGCCTCATCCCAGGACACAAATCCTCCCTCACTGCCCTCACTTACAATGGCCCAATGCCAGGAGTGCCTCGGCCTCACCCACCTCGTGGCCTCCTGCTGGGCGGCTGCCTCCCGGGCGAGCTCGGAAGGAGGAAACTGAACAAAGAGGTCTCCTGCTCTACTGATGAGCGTTTCATAGGGCAGGTCCTGAGGGATCTGGGACAACAGGTGGTGGACAGAGGCCATGTCACAGTCACAGTCCAGGACCTCCTGCTCCCGATACAGCACGATCTGCAGGGAGAAAAGCCCTGCGTCAGAGACTGCACACCCGGGCTGGGCCCATGGCTCAGGTGCTCGGCAAACTCCTGTATTCCTCAGGACTCACAGGGCTGCCCCCGCGGGACTGGCCCTGCTGCCGGAGGCCAACTCCCAATTACATTCCAAGTCTTGCTGGGCACATCTGTCTGCTCAAGTGTCCTTCAAGTCTTGAAACAAATGCAGGAGATTCTTTCAGAAGGAAGCAAAGGGGAGGGGTTACTGGGAGAGTCCCGGAGCTCCAGCCCGGAAGACATGGGTCAAACCAGAAGGGATGGGCTGCTCGCTCGCTCGCTCGCTCTTGAACACCTTCCTCTGACTGCCGGCCCAGAAATCCACAGCTGCTGCATGAAGACCTTCCCTGGATCCCCACTCCACGCTACCATGCAGCCCTTCTGAGGGTCACAGCCCCCTCACGCTTCCCTCCGCACACTGGATCTCTCTTCTTAAATCTGGAGGTGGTAGTTTGTGCCACTGTTTCCCTAGCTGCGCTCAGCAGCTGAACACAGTTCCAGATGTCAGCAGGAGTGCTGACAACTCACAACACACAGTGGCATGTGGAAGGTTCACCAGAGGCGTGTGGCAGAGAACCTGCCTGCCTGTTTAACCAGCATTTCCCAACCTGTTACGTAGTTTTTCCATAATGTCCCCATTAACACTGCACGGAACCATGTCCAGGAGCGCTAGCCTGGAAAATACGCTAGCCTCTCCCATTTTCCCATAATCACCGGGTGTCCCTTCAGGGCCAGTGAAGGAGCTGGGCTGGTGAAGGTGAACCCAGTTGCTGGCTCGTGGCCTGTACCTACCACAGCTGCAAAGTAAATGGGCATCAGCGGGTGGCAGGCCAGGAAGAAGTCGTACAACCGCACAACGTGCCTGAAGTCAGACAGGACGTGGCCGAACCAGGTGATGAGCCAGCTAAGGGCAAAGATAGTCCCCACCTCAGCACTAGGAGCAAAGAAACGCAGATGTTAGGTGCCTCGCTGCGCCATCGCTTCCCTTCCTCTGGGCCTTCTCTGTCCTCAGTGCTGGTGAGGGGGCAGCACTTGGAACCAGGCTCTCTGGACAATTCAGCCACACAGGAATTCAGCATCCTCCCTATAAAATACAAAGTCCTTACAATGTGCAGCGACACCATTACCACAACAGGGTCCCGGCTGCCTTACCTCACTGGGGATGCTCTTAATGACCAACAAACGTCAACTAGAGGAATAAGAACCATTTGTATTCAGAGAACACACCCTGATATTCCTTCTGAGAAAGTCTCATCCTTTCTGAGGACATAGGCACATATTTCCAGGCTTGAAAACACAACTGTGCCAATTTTTCTGTTAATATGAGAACACTGAAATATCTTGAAATATAGCCATTATTTTAAAAAAAAAATAAGTAAAGCATTGGCCATGGACATTTTCTAACTAAACAGAGAACAAAACAAAACAAATCAAGGACATTTGCAAAAACAGTATTTCCTCTCCGTGGTACTTCGGAAAGAAAACACCCACATTTAAGCCTTGTCATTCCCTCCTGAGTGTGTCCTCTCCACCTCCAAGTCTACCGTGGCATACTTACCTCTCCCCACTAGAGGTAAACACCTGAAGACATGAGCTATGTCATCCTGTATCTCCCAAACAGCACAGCTATGAGACTGTGCAGAGTACTGAATTATCTAGACTGCTGGTGATGGACAACTTGGAGGAACTTAACACTAATCAACAAAAAGATGATGATGAAATCGAACTAGACTTTGGAAGCAGAAACAGCAGCAAGGAGAGAGCTTGCGGTATAGGGGTGTGTATGTACACATAAATGTAGATACATAGATACCTCTGCATGAAATCATGGAGTTCTGGATTCACCTGGTCAATGATGGGCATCAGATAGTTTAAGATATGCCGAGTGTTGTCCATTGTGGGCTCCATGAAATCCCTAGAGGGAGACAATTTGATATGCTTGATCAGACCAAACACTTAGATCAGGGTTGGCAGGTGGAGTCGGTGCAAACCTCTGAACACCTGACTAGACCGTGGGCTGAGGAGTCATCCCAGGGCCTGAGGAGCGGTGCCCTCCCTCTCCTGTCCCTCTGCACTGTACCTGAGGTGGTGGGTAGACAACTTTTCTACCAGGGACGTGGTGAGCTTCTCGCCTACCACCAGCAGAAACGTGACCACGATGTCGTGGTAGCCCTGGTAGTAGTGCAGCTGGGGGTTGCGCTCCAAGACGAGCAGGATGATGTCGATGAGTTCCTCCTGCAGCCCTTCCCTCTGCTCGTCGGGCATGCCTGGGGAGCGCAGGGAGAGGGCACGTGAGCAGAGTGCGCAGCCCGTGACCAGGACGGGGAGGCCTTCAGGGAAGGTCTTCGGTGAAAGAAAATGCATGATAAACAACCTGGCAACGCAGAGCAGGTTCCACCCTGGCATACAGCAAAGAGCTGGTGTGTGGCACACCACACACCAGCACCCGCACAGCGGGGGGCCGGGTGATGGAACTGCTGTGGGCTCGGCGTCACGTCTGCAGGGCTCTTCAACAGTCTTACAATGAGGAACACAGGTGAACCCAAGGGGAGGGACACTGAGCTAAATAACTGGCTCGTCACAAAACCCAGAGGAAGAGCTCTAGATTAAAGGAGGCTGAAGAGAGAACGGCTAAGGGAGACATGCCTCGGTTTGGATTTAGACATTACTAGGACAAATGGTAGGATCTGAATAAAATCTATGAATCCGTTAACGGCATTTCCCAATGAGGTACTGATTTGGATGAGTACTGTAGTGATAAAAGAGCTTTAGCTTTAGGAAATAGATCCTGAAGTATTTAGGGGCAAAGGGGTGCTACATTTGCAATCACAGTACTTCAGGAAAACATTGTGTATGGAGAAAGAGAGAAAGAAGCTAATGTTAGTATAGTTAATAGTTACATAGTAGATACTTATAAAGTTGGTATAATGGTAGCAATCAAGAAAATCTGGGTAAAATATTTCTGGGGAATTATCTGTCCTATTTTTGCAACTTTTTGGTAAATATGAAATTATGTGAAAAAAATGTTGTACATTCTCCTCTAAAACAAACCAAATATTATAAGCACTGATGTCTCCTTCGTCCAGAAACCTGGCTGACACAGGCAGTGCGGCAGGGGCTCATTCAGTGCATGGAGCTGGTCCCGCCGGCGGTCAGTACACTCCTAGGGCTTTCAGCTGAAGAATGTCTGCCCTTGGCCTTTTGAATCATTTCAGAAGAATTTATCCAGCACAGCTTCCAACACCATTAACTTGTACAGTTAAAAACAGACACCAGGGGCTGGTTCAAGTCCCAGCTGCTCCACTTTTGATTCAGCTCTCTGCTGTGGCCGGACAAAGCAGTAGAAGGTGAACCAAGTCCTTGGGTCCCTGCACCCATGTGGGAGACCTGGAAGAAGCTCCTGGCTCCTAGCTTTGGATCAGCTCAGCTCTGGCCGTGTAGTCATTTGGGGAGTGAATTAGCGGATGGAAGACCTCTCTCTCTCTGGCTCTACCTCTAACTCTGTCTTTCAAATAAGTAAAATAAATCTTTAAGAAAAACAAAAACAAAAACAGATACTGGGACAAAAAAGCAATGTGGCCGGCGCCGAGGCTCACTAGGCTAATCCTCCGCCTGCGGCGCCAGCACACCGGGTTCTAGTCCCAGTTGGGGTGCCAGATTCTGTCTCAGTTGCTCCTCTTCCAGGCCAGCTCTCTGCTGTGGCCAGGGAGTGCAGTGGAGGACGGCCCAAGTGCTTGGGTCCTGCACCCCACGGGAGACCAGGAGGGGCACCTGGCTGCTGCCTTCGGATCAGTGCAGTGCGCCGGCTGTAGCGTGCTGGCCGCGGTGGCCACTGAAAAGTAAACCAATGGCAAAGGAAGACCTTTCTCCCTCTCTCACTGTCCACTCTGCCTGCCCCCCCCACCCCCAAAAAAAGCAATGTAGTGGCCCAGACTACAGTGAACAAATTCAGGAGAAGAGCAGTGCTCCTCTCCTGCCCACATTTACCCTACCCCTCCTCAAAAAAAGCACACACTAAGAGAACATCAGAAAGTGATCCGGCTGTTGGTTGGCATAGTGGTTAAGACGTGGCCTGGGATTTCAAGACACACTGCAGGGCAGTTATAATCACAACAGCCTGGTCCTGGTACAAAAACAGACGGATAGACCAATGGAACAGAATGCAAATCCCAGAAGTCAACCCACACATCCACAACCAACTCATCTCTGACAAAGGAGCTAAAGTCAACCCCGGGAGCAAGGACAGTCTCTTCAACAGATGGTGCTGGGAAAACTGCATCTCCACATGCAGAAATATAAAGCAAGACCCCTACTTTACACCTTACACAAAAATCCACTCAAAATGGATTAAAGGCCTAAATCTACAACCATCAAATTATTAGAGAACATTGGGGAAACCCTGCAGGACATTGGCATAGGCAGAGAGTTCTTGGAAAAGACCCCAATTTCGGCAATAAAAGCCAACATTGACAAATGAGACTATATAAAAAATTGAGACACTTCTGCACTGCAAACGAAACACTCAGAAAAGTGAAGAGGCAACTGACAAAATCGGAGTAATTATTTGCAAACTATGCAACTGATAAAGGGTTAATAACCAGAATATACAGAGATCAAGAAACAAGAACAAAACACACAACCCAGTTACAAAGTGGGCAAAGGACTTAAACAGGCATTTTTCAAAAGAGGAAATCCAGATGGCCAAAAGATACACACACAAAAACCGCTCAGGATCACTAGCCGTCAGGAAAATGCCTGACCACAATGAGGTTTCATCTTGTCCCCCCACTCCCGTCAGAATGGCTTTTGTACAGAAATCAACAAATTCTGGCGAGGATTGGGGGGGGTTGGGAAGTACCTTAATCCACTGCTGGTGGGAATGTAAACTGGCACAGCCACTGTGGAAGACAGTATGGAGATACCTCAGAAATCTGAATATAGACCTACCACATGACCCAGCCATCCCACTCCTGGGAATTTACCCAAGGGAAATGAAATCAGCATATGAAAGAATTATCTGTAACCCCATGTTTACTGCAGCTCAATTCACAATAGCTAAGATATGGAATCAATCCAAATGACTGTCACTTGAAGACTGGATAAAGAAATTATGGGATATGTACACCATGGAACACTGAACAGTGGTAAAAAAAAAAATGAAATCCTGTCATTTGCAACAAAATGGATGGAACTGGAAAACATCGCATTTAGTGAAATAAGCCAGTCCCAAAAGGACAAATACCATGTTTCTCTGACCTGCGATAAGTAATAGAGCACCTAAAGGTAATCCATAGCAGTGAAATTTGGCACTCTGAAATGCAATGACTTTGAACAGCCCTTGTCTCCATTGTTGAGGAACATATTTTTTCAGATTGTTTGTTGAACTCTCTATTTAGTATAATCATATGTGTTATAAAGTTAATTGAAAACAGATCTTAGTAAAAAAAAAAAAAAAGAATGGGAATAGAAGTGGGAGGAGGAAACGGGGTGGGGGGTGGGGGGGTGGGTATGGTAGGAAGAAATACTATGTTCCTAAAGTTGTACTTATGAAATGCATAAAGTCTGTATTCCTTAAATAGAAGGTTTCGGGGGGGGGGGCGGGGGAGGCATGGCCTGGGACACCTGCATCCCAAATCAGGTTGCCTGGGTTCAAGTCCTGGCTCTGCTTCTAATTCCAGTTTCCTATTGTACAACCTAAAAGGAAGCAGGTGCAGGTCAAGTACTTGGGTCCCTGCCAACCACGTGAGAGATCTGGATTGCGTGGACTGAGTTCCTGGCTCCTGGCTTCAGCCTGGCCCCTGGCTTCAGCCTGGCCCAGCTCTGGCTGTTTTGGGTATTTGGGAGGGAACCACTGTTTGGGAGATCTGCATCTTTGCCTCTTTTTTTAAAATTTTTTTTTTTTGACAGGCAGAGTGGACAGTGAGAGAGAGAGAGACAGAGAGAAAGGTCTTCCTTTTGCCATTGGTTCATCCTCCAATGGCTGCCGCGGCTGGCGTGCTGCAGCCGGCGCACCGCGCTGATCCGATGGCAGGAGCCAGGTACTTATCCTGGTCTCCCATGGGTGCAGGGCCCAAGCACTTGGGCCATCCTCCACTGCACTCCCTGGCCACAGCAAAGAGCTGGCCTGGAAGAGGGGCAACCGGGACAGAATCCGGCGCCCCGACCGGGACTAGTACCCGGTGTGCCGGCGCCGCAAGGTGGAGGATTAGCCTAGTGAGCCGCGGCGCCGGCCCATCTTTGCCTTTCAAATAAAATATATATAGAAATTTTGTTTTAAAGATTTTTAAAATTTATTTGAGAGGTAGAGTTACAGACAGTAAGAGGGAGAGGAGAGACAAAGAAAAAGGTCTTCCTTCTGTTGGTTCACAAACAAATGGCCACAACGGACAGAGCTGGGCCAATTCGAAGCCAGGAGCCAGGCGTTCTTCCAGGTCTCCCATGTGGGTGCAGGGGCCCAAGGACTTGGGCCATCTTCTACTGCTTTCCCAGGCCATAGCAGAGAGCTGGATTGGAAATGGAGCAGCCAGGACTAGAACCAGCACCCATATGGAATGCTAGCACCACAGGCGGAGGATTAACCTACTGTGCCACGGTGCCAGCCTTGATAAAATTTTTTTTAAATGAAAGTCTTTTTTAAATAAGTAAAGTAAACCTTGGTACCAGCATCTAGCATAGCAGGTTAAGCCTCCACCTGTGATGCTAGCAAGCCACACAGGCACCAGTTTGAGTCCCAGCTGCTCCATTTCCAATCCAGCTGCCTGCTAAGCACCTGGAAAAACAGCAGAAAATGGCCCAACTACTTGGGCCCCTGCACCCATGTGGGAGACCCAGATGGAGTTCCAGGTTTCTGGCTTTGGCCTGGCCCAACCCTACTGTTCTGGGTGTGAACCAGAGGATGGAAGACCAATGTCTCTCTAACACTTTCAAATAAATAAATAAATCTTAAAACAAAACAAAAAATGAAGTAAACCAAGAACTGGAAAGGAAAAAGCAATGAAGTAATAAGAATATAAATTAAACCCTGTTTGAATTTTCAGTTAAGAATGGACAACCAAACCCAGTAGAACACAAATGGAAGAAAAGTTCAACTTACAGAAAGATGATCACAGAATGATACTACATGAATGGAAAAAGAATAAAGGATTCAGGGGAAAAAACCAAACAAACAGGTTTCCCAGGGTAGAAGTGGAAGGCCTGTGACCTGCCTGGTCTCATCCAAATGGGCAGGATGAGAAAAGGGGACTGCACTGGATGGTTTCACCAGATCTAAGCTGGCAGGCTGCTGGCTATGTGGGACTCACAGGGAACACGTACACAAGCAGGAGAGACAAAATCCAAGCCAGAGTGGTTTCAGAAGAGTGAAGTGACAGGTTTAGAGGCTCTGTTCCCTTTAGCAATTTTCCCTTCAAGGGGGCATTGCCAGGGAGAACTAGGTCATACACTGGTTTGTTATCCAGTTTCCTTCGTTTACTATGAAAACAGAGACAATGATCATTCTTCTCTTTCTTCTGAGGACTGGGGACACAGTTTTAGGAACAGACTTTATAAACACAAAGAGAATGACTTCCCTGCCAGTCCACAGGACCCGATATACATGTATGCCAGGCATCACTGAGACTCTAGGAGGAAGACACTAGTGCTTCTTGTTAGCACCCAGTTCCAAACCCACCTGCTCACTAAAGCCAGAATGATGTTCTAACAATCACTATAAAGTCCCTTCTGTGGCTTGAAGGAAAAACAAAACAAAAACCCTTCCATCATTCACAACACCTAGGCCAGGAGACACATCTTTGGTTCAGGCTTCCTCCATGGGAGTCTGAAAGCGACCCTGCTAACCAAAGAAGGACTTAGCAGATGGAGCGTGCTGAAGACCCACAAAAAGAATGCAGGCTCCTCCGCACTAGGCCGTGCTGTGCTGGGAGAGACTCCCTGGAACTGACAAGCACCAACACCAAGCTTCCTTCCAAATGTGGCAAAACTGGGAGACTGCTCACCAGGAGGGAACCGCCGCAGAGATCGCCGGACATCCAGCAGCACTTGTTGGTAGTCCTTGCTCATCTGCCGTAGGTCCTTCCCTAGTGGAAGAAAAGGAATGTGTTATTGCAGGGAAGTCTGGGAAGCCAGATCAGGAGCAAAACCTTCTGTAATGACATCGAGGGCCTGGAAGACACACTACAGCTTTTTCTTGAAGAGGGCACGACTCAAGATACAACATTTAGAAGGGAATTCCTAGTTTAGCTCTGAATAAATCTTGTCCCATGCAAGTCAGGATGACTTAAGAGAGCTCACAGACTGTCCAGGAGCAATACAGTGGGGTAGTGAGAGACACAGGAAGTAAGGAGTCGGGGGCCTAGTGCAGGCTGCCACTGACCATCACTGGGTAACCGCTCTGAATCGTGGTGCTCCCATCTGTAAAGTGAGGCGATCCCCGTCCCGTGTGGACCTCTCAGGTTACTACTGTAACTACTATTACTACTAAATCAGAAACGCGGAACCAGAGACAACTGGAAAAAACCCTAACACCTGTAAAGCTGTTTAGCAATATTATGATAAACCCATAGGGGCCGGTGCTATGACATATTTGGTAAAGCTGCTGCCTGTGGTGCCGGCATCCCATATAGGTGCCAGTTTGAGTCCCAGCTGTTCCACTTCTGATCCAGCTTCCTGCTATTGTGCCTGGGAAAGCAGTAGAAGATGGCCCAAGTGCTTGGGCCCCTGCACTCACATGAGAGACCTGGAAGAAGCTCCTGATTGGTCCAGTTTTGGCTATTGTGGCCATCTGGGGAATAAACCTGAGGATAGAAGAGTCTCTCTCTGCCTCTCCTTCTCTGTAACTGTTTAATGTATATATAAAAAAAGATTTATTTCTTCGAAAGGCAAAGTTACAAAGAAGCAGAGGAAGAGAGAAAGAGAAGTCTTCTATCCATTGGTTCACTCTCCAAATGGCTGCAATGGTCAGAGCTGGACTGATCAGGAGCCAGGAGCTTCCTCCAGGTCTTCTATGCAGGTGCAGGGGCCCATGCACCTGGGCCTTCCTCTACTGCTTTCCCAGGCCACAGCAGAGAGCTGGATCAGAAGTGGAACAGCCAGGACTTGAACTGGCTCCCATATGGATGCCAGTCCTGCAGGTGCTGACTTTACCCACTACGCCACAGTGTTGGCCCCTATAATTCTTTCAAATAAATAAATAAACCTTAAAAAAAAAAAAAAAGAAGGGGGGCTGGCGTGGTGGCACAGCAGGTTAAAGCCCCAGCCTGCAGTGCTGGCATCCCATATAGGTGCCAGTTCTAGTCCCAGCTGCTCCACAATCCAGCTCCCTGCTGGTATGCCTGGGAAAGCAGCAGAAGATGACTCAAGTCCTTGGGCCCCTGCACCCACATTTGAGACCTGGAAGAAGCTTCTGGCTTTGGATTGGTGCAGTTGGCCATTTGGGGAGTGAACCAGCAGATGGAAGATTTCTCTCTCTCTCTTTTTTTTTTTTTTTGACAGGCAGAGTGGACAGTGAGAGAGAGAGACAGGGAGAAAGGTCTTCCTTTACCATTGGTTCACCCTCCAATGGCCGCTGCGGCCAGCGCGCTGCACCGATCCAAAGCCAGGAGCCAGGTGCTTCCTCCTGGTCTCCCATGCGGATGCAGGGCCCAAGCACTTGGGTCATCCTCCACTGCCTTCCCGGGCCACAGCAGAGAGCTGGACTAGAAGAGGAGCAACTGGGACAGAATCCGGCTCCCTGACTGGGACTAGAACCCGGTGTACCAGCGCCACAGGTGGAGGATTAGCCTAGTGAGCCACGGCACCAGCCTGCTGTGGGCATTTTGAATGTGAATCAGTAGACAGACGATCTCTTTTCACTGTATTTCTGTCACTCTGCCTTTCAAATAAATAAATCTTAGTCCCTCTCCCCCCACAAAAAAAAATCTTAAACTCCCCCCCCCCCATCACAAAAAAACTACCAGAGGAATCTATATGATACTTCTTACACACGGACTTCTTTTTATAAAATGAAAGGGCAATTTGGAATCCAACAGGACATCACCTCAGGACTGGGAGTGTGACTATAGCAATGCTTTTGCCTTCCAGCAAAAAGCTGACTGCTCCAAAGATAACAACAGGTTGGCAACTCAGTATCTCCTGGTGGCACTACAACACTGTGAAGAGATCCCGTTTTAATCCTCTCCAGCACCTGGCACACATCAGGGGCACGTATACTAGTATTTGCCAAATCAAAGAATCTCTAGCACCAGGCATTTTGCCATAATAGCAGGAAAGCAATAAAGAGAATGAACGGAGTGAATGAACGACAAAGTGGATTCACTGCTGTCCAGTCCTTCCTTCTGTATTCTGAACTGTATTTCAGGGCACTTCCTTTGACTACATGAGCCTTGCATAAATTAGTTAAATAACAGCCATTCAGATTTACAGAATTTTAGAACTAATTATTTCCCAATAAAAAGTCTTTTTTGTTTAGGACTACACAGCTGTCTATCATCTCTCCCTACGGTCTAGTGTTTCTCAAAATGTAGTCCTTCTGCATTAGAATCAGCTGGGGTATTTGTTAACATGAAGCTTCCTATATCCCACCTTCAACTGAATGAATCTGGTTTAGAATATAAATTTTTAAAAAAGATTTATTTATATATAATTTGAAAGTCAGAGTTGGAGAGAGACAGACATCTTCCATCTGCTGGTTCATTCCCTAGATGACTGCAATAGCACAGGCCGGACCAGGCTGAAGCCAGGAGCATCTTTTGGGTCTCCCACGTGGTGCAAGAGCCCAAGCACTTGGGCTAGCCTCCACAGCTTTCCAGACATGTTAGCAGGGAGCTAGATGGGAAATGGAGCAGCTGGGGCTCGAACTGGTGCCCATATGGGATACTGGAGTCGCAGGTGGTAGCTCTACCCACTACACCACAACCCTTGGCCCCTAGAATACAAATTGTTAATGAATACCTCTACCTATCTAGTATTCTAATCTTTAATAGAAATTCATTCCATTTTTTAATAAAATTCCACTTATCAGTTAGACCTTATTCTCAGAGCGGGCTCAAGTACTTCCTATGGGGCTTTTCTGATTCAGCTGCTCATGGTGTGAAATGAGCATCTAAACCAGTTTCCGGAATTCTGTTCTGCCTGCTTCTGAGACAAGTGCCCCTCAGCCCGCCGTTACCTAATAGAGGAGGTGGGTCACTGGTGTTGACGTTGAGGAGCCTGGGCCACACTTTTCGCCTGATCTCATCAGTCAGCAGTCCACCTTCACTGATAGCCATGCGTCGAAGGGCGGCCACATCGATGGGATCACTGTTCAGAGCCTGGTAGATCTCTGCCACTTTCTTTTTCTTTTTGTTGTTAAAGTCTGGGGGAAAAAAAGGGGGTAGGGAGGGAAGCATTAGAGCATTAGGCACACACTCAGCATGCATGTCTCCACTCAGGGCCCAGTTCCCTCATCTGGTTGGAGGCACGGGTAGTTGTCTCCTTCCAGACAGCTCTGAGGTCATGCAGGCACAGGTCTTATGGGCGCATGCACTCTAGATTTCAGGCCCAGTGCACTGAACACCGTGGAGGGGGGACGCTCATTTCAGATTTTGGGACTGGTGTTGTGGCACAGCGGATTAAGCTGCTGCCTCTAATTCCTGTATCCCTCTGATCTCTGGTTCACGTACCGGCTGTTCCATTTCAGATCCAGCTCCCATGCTCCTGAGAAGACAGCAGAGGATCGCCCAAGTATTTAGGCTCCTGCCACCCACACAGGAAACCCAGAAGCAGCTCCAGGTTCCTGATTTGGGCCTCGCAGCTACTGCGGCCGTTTGGGGAGTAAATCAGCAAATGGAAGATCAACCCTGCTCCCCTCCCCCGCTCCCGCAGAACTCTGCCTTTCAAATAAATCTTAAAAACAAATTAAAAACAACAACAACAACAACAACAAAATAGGGGCCAGCACTGTGGCATACAGGTTAAGCAGCCACCTGCAGCACCAGCAGCCCATATGGGCTCCAGTTCAAGTTGCAGCTGTTCTACTTCCAATCCAGCTCCCTGCTGATGTGCCTGGGAAAACAGTGGAAAACGGTCCATGTGCTTGGGCCTCTGCACCCACATGGGATACTTGGAAGAAGCTCCTGGCTTCAGCCTGGCCCAGCCCGGGCCGTGGCAGCCACCTGGGAAGTTTACTAGTGGATGGAAGCTCTCCGTAATTCTGCCTTTCAAATAAATAAACTAAATCTTAAAAAAACAAAACAAAACCAAAAAAACAAACAGGGGCCGGTAATGTGGTGTAATAGGTAAAGCCACCACCTGCAACACTGGCGTCCCATATAGGCATGTGTTCAAAGTCCGGGCAACTCCACTTTTTTTTTTTTTCCATTTTTAAAGATTTATTTATTTATTTGAAAGGCAGAGCTACACAGAGAGAAGGAGAGGCAGAGAGGGGGAGAGGGGGAGAGAGGGAGAGAGGGAGAGAGAGGGAGAGAGAGGGAGAGGGAGGGAGAGAGGGAGGGAGAGAGAGAGGGAGAGAGAGAGGGAGAGGAGAGGGAGAGGGAGGGAGAGAGAGGGAGAGAGAGAGAGGGGGAGGGAGGGGGAGGGAGGGAGAGAGAGGCAGGGAGAGAGAGGCAGGGAGAGAGAGGGAGAGAGAGGGAGGGGGGGGAGGGAGGGGGAGGGAGGGAGAGGGAGTGAGAGAGGGAGGGAGGTCTTCCATTCGCCGGTTCACTCCCCAATTGGCCGCAATGGGAGGAGCTGTGCCAATCCAAAATCAGGGGACTCCTCTGGGTCTTCCTACACAGGTGCAGGGGCCCAAGGACTTGGGCCATCTTCCACTGCTTTCCCAGGCCATAGCAGAGAGCTGGATTGGAAGTGGAGCAGCTGGGACTTGAACCGGTGCCCATGTGGGATGCTGGCACTGCAGTTGGCAGCTTTACCTGCTACGCCACAGTGCCAGCCCCACTGGCAGCTCCACTTTGATCCAGCTCCCTGCTAATATGCCTGGGAAAGCAGTGGAAGATGGCCAAAATGCCTAGGCCCCTGCATCCAAGTGGGAGACCCAGACAAAGCGCCTAGCTTTGGCCTGGCCTAGCTCTATTGCAGCCATTTGGAGTGTGAACCAGCAGATGAAGGATCCCTCTCTCTGCCTCTGCCTCTCCTCTGTAACTCTGACCTTCAAATACATAAATAAATCTTTAAAAAAAGAAAATCAGATCTTGGTTCACATCCTGGCTCTGCCACTGAAGTGTTGTACAAACAACCTTGGGCTGATTACTTCATCCCCCTGGGCCTCAGAGTTGACACTCTCCTATCAGGAGAGTTACCACCGTACACAGTAGACACTCACTAGATATCAGTTCCTATCCTCACTCTGAAACAGCACACACATTTAGTTAGTATGTAATGGGCAAACACTTAAGGAGACAGACTAAATGACAAACAAGGACTTACAATGATGATAAATACTCCATACATTCAAGCATATTTAGCAGCTGGCGTCAATGTTTAAAACAAAACAAAACAAAAACCCAAGCACTTGGCAGGGAGCTGGATCAGAAGTGGAGCAGCCAGGACTTGAACCTGTGTCCATATGGGAAGCCAGCACTATACAGTGGCAAATTTTACAGAGCATATGTATCTCTCTTATCAAACTATTTTTCTTATATTTCATATAAGAAAATGCATGTATGTTACCAAAACTCGATGCTACATTAACTTTTCTTTTTCACTTTTAATTTATTGGCAGAGAAAGAATGAGAGAAGGCGCTTCAATCTCCTAATGCCTGCAACCACCAGGGCTGAGCTGCCTGAAGCTGGGAGCCAGGCACTCAATCCATCTCCCACGTGGGCGGCAGGGACCTCAGAGTTGAGCTATCACCCTGCACTCCAGGATCTATATCAGCAGGAAGCTGGATCAGGGGTTGCAGCCAGGAGGTAAACTCAGGCACTCCAAAACAGGACAGAGGAATCTTAACCATCAGGCTAGTCAGTGGTCCCAAACAATACATTCTTAATGAAAGTCCCAGTTACATGCAAATACAAGCAGTAAAACACCAGAATCATAAAGACATTTTCAAAGGCATAGCATCAAAGGGTGTTTGGGTCCCCAGGTAAGAGAGGGCATGATACTGCATTCAAAGCAACTGTCTCTTAACAAACATTAAATACTGGTAATCAAAAAGGAGTTTTTAAAAAAAAAAAAAAATTTTTTTTTTTTTATTTTACAGGCAGAGTGGACAGTGAAAGAGACAGAGAGAAAGATCTCCCTTTGCCGTTGGTTCACCCTCCAATGGCCGCCATGGCTGGTGCGCTGCGGCCGGCGCACCGCACTGATCCGAAGCCAGGAGCCAGGTGCTTCTCCTGGTCTCCCATGGGGTGCAGGGCCCAAGCACTTGGGCCATCCTCCACTGCACTCCCTGGCCACAGCAGAGAGCTGGCCTGGAAGAGGGGCAACCGGGACAGAATCCGGCACCCCTGACCGGGACTAGGACCCGGTGTGCCGGCGCCGCTAGGCGGAGGATTAGCCTCAGCGCCGGCCAAAAAAGGAGTATTTTAAGAATCTACATCTTTATGTGACAGTCTGCTATTCACAGGCATTTTACTATGCTTAAATGACTTTTAGGAAACTGGTTGGGAGTTTGTTATTGAGATTTACCATACTACACTTTTTTTTTCTATTTGAAAAGGGATAATAGGCTCTCAAGGTTTTCAAGCAGAATGCCTACTTAATTTAGGAATGGCTTGAAGTTAAGTGGGTAATACTAATAGTCAATTTCTTTCTGGCTGCCTGCATCATTGAGACAAGAAGCCCAAAACACTAGAAATATTAAAGAAGACAACACCAAATATCACAAAGCAGTGTAGTTGCCAAAAAAAAAAAAAAGATGAGAATTACTGTTTACTTTTTATTATTACTTAATTTATTAATTGATTTTATTAATTGAGAGGTGGAGAGAATGCAAGTGCCCTTATCTTCTGGCCCACTTCCCAAACACCCACAATGGCCAGAGGCTGAAGCTGGAGCCAGGAACTCATTCCAGGTCTCCCACAGCACTGCAGGAACCCAACCACCAGAGCTGTCACTTCTGCCTCCCAGGATCTGCACATGGAATCAGGGACCAGAGCCAGGATTAAACCCTGGTACTTGAATGTAGGCACCCTAATTGGCAACTTTTTTTTAAAGATTTATCTTATGTGAAAGTCCAAGTTACAGAGAGGAAGAGACAGAGAAAGAGATTTTCTATCACTGGTTCACGCTCCAGATGGCCGCAACATCTGGGGCTGGAGCTTCATCCAGGTCTCCCACGTGGGTGGCGGGGCCCCAAGCACTAGGGCCATCTTCCATTGCTTTCCCATGTAATTAGCAGGGAGCTGGATCGGAAGTAGAGCAGCTAGGACTAGATCTAGCACCCACATGGGATTCTGGTGTCACAGGCAGTGGCTTTATTTGGTACACCACAATGCCTGCCCCTCAACCGGCATCTTAACTGCTAGGCCAAACTGCTACGCCAGGAAAGGAAGGATTTAGAGGTTGGGAAGAGGGGTAGAGAATAGGTTTGGATTCAGGAAACATACGGCCTTTTCTCCCCTACAGTAAACAGACTTATGTAGGAGTGGGCATTTTGCCTCGTGGTTACACCTGGGTCCCATATCAGACTCCCTGGGTTTGATGCCTGCCTCTGGATCATTTGGGAGACCTAGATTGTGTTCCTGGTTCTCAGCTTCAGCCTTGGTCCCAGCCCAATTCTGGCCATCCCAGGCATTTCGGGACTGAACCAATGGATGGGAGTGCTCTCTTTGCCTCTCAAATAATAAATAAATTTTAAAAAATACACATCAATGTAGTATATAGCAAGCACAAGGAAATAGAATTAATGTAAAGTATAAAATAACACTGAGAGCAGGTTAGACTTTAGAAGGGACTAACACTGGAAGAAATACTAGGTTTTAGAAGGGACAGTAAACAGCTTCCCTAAGCAATGTTTTACTCTGAGACAACAGCCCACAAACTGTTTCCACGACAAAGCTGTACTTTATTAGCACAAACCACAGTTGGTACAAGAGCCTTGGTGACCTCCAGGGAGGGGTCCAACATATAAGCCACATACACAGAGGTCCCAGCTGGCTTAGAGTCACATGCAGGTACTCAGAGGCGCAGATAGGAAAATTAACACGAGTGACTTTTTTGCCCAGGTAAACCTGTCTTCTTGGACACACTGCTATTTTCCCTAATAGCCTAGTAGGGTGACCATTTGTTCTAGTCTGAGTGAGATCTTCCTGCTTTAAACCTACAGTCTGGGCAGAATTGTTCACAGCAAACCCCTCCTGCTCCCTGCATTCTCAACTGTCCAAGCTTCGATGCTAAATGGTTATTGTACCTAAACCATGAAAAATCAAGTGCCCCATTTCCACTGTCAGCACAGCACCCAACCACCAAAGGTTTGTTTCTGAGGCACATCAAGCTCCTGGACCAGGTGTGTCCTTCCATGTGTACCTCCACCCTGACTCGTCCATGCAGCCATCCTTTAGTGTCTACTAACATGCAGCACTGTACAGGGGACACAGAGATGAATGGCACAGCAGCCCTTGAGAGGCTCACTGTAGAGGAACACAAGCAGTTACAACAGAGACAGAATCCAGAGAAGCAATGACTTCTACTGAGGCCACAAGCAAAGGCTTCCTGAAGAATATATTCCCAGGGCTGGCAGTGTGGTCAGCGGGTTAAGCTGCTGCCTGTGACAACAGCAACAATCCAAATGGGTGCCGGTTCGCGTCCCGATTGCTCCACTTCCGATCCAGCTCCCTGCCAATGCGCCTGGGAAAGCAGCAGAGGATGGCCCAAGTGTTTGGGCCCCTGCACCCACATGAGAGACCCGGATGACTACCAGGCTCCTGGCTTCAGGCCTAGCCCAGCCCTAACTGCTGCAGCTATTTGGGGAGTGAACCAACGGATGGGAGAGATCTCTCTCTGCAACTCTGCCTTTCAGATAAATAATTTTTTTCTTCCTTTTCTAGATTATACACTGGTATGTTCTTAAAGAAAGCTGTCACATGGCAGGGCGTATTGAAGGGAAAGCACTCCAGGCAAAGGAAAGAATATAAACAAGGACCTTGGAACATGAAAGAAACACAACATCCAGGAAACAGCTCTGCGGAGCTGCAGCTGCAGTGTCAGGTACTGGAACAGAAGCAGGAAGCACTGCAGAGGAGCTGGGGCTGAGTGCCTCCCGCAGAGGGCCGTCTGGGGATCCTCTCTCAAAAGGCAGGCAGGGAGGGCTTCGACTCTGCACCCTTTGGAAGACCCAGCTGCAGGTTTCCAAAAGAGAAACAGAGACTTCATCTAACGGCAGAGCTGAGACAATATGTGGGCAAGAGTTCGAATGATTTTCAATGAAGAAAACTAACAGATACATATATTTTTCACTTAAGAGTATCCGTGCACTTCACACACATCACAAACTAGAGCACTGAAGGGGCCGGTGCTGTGGCATGGTGGGTAAAGCCACCGCCTACAGTGCCGGTATCTCATATGGGCGCCAGTTCGAGTCCCAGCTGCTCCTCTTCTGATCCAGCTCTGCTGTGGCCTGGGAAAGCGGTGGAGGATGGCCCAAGTCCTTGGGTCCCTGCACCTGTGTGGGAGACCTAGAGAAGGCTCCTGGCTTCAGATCCGCTCAGCTCCAGCCATTGTGGCCAATTGGGTTGTGAACCAGTGGATGGAAGACCGACCGACCGACCGACCGACCGACCGACCTCCCTCTCCCTCTCTCTCTCTCTCTCTCTAACTCTAACTTTCAAATAAATAAATAAATCTTAAAAAAAAAAAAAAAAAGAGCACTTAAATGATACTGCCAAATACTGCTTCGGGGAAGCGGACAGAACTCTCGTTCACCTGTTTGCTAGGAGTACAGAGCTTCCCCACAGTTCGTTTCGACACAGCCACTCCACTTTCCCTTCAAGCAAGCTCAGCAGCAATCTGGGGGAAAGGAAGCATTACTTATCCTGGGACAAAGAACACTGTAATCAGCTGGATTTCCACGAGGTTTTGGCAAACAGAAAAGTCAGAAAGTTAACTGATTCGGAACCCAAACCACAGCGCTGGTACTTATTTCTCCCTGTTCGGATTCTATTCTTAATCTTGCATCCCAAAATTTTAGAGCAGGACACACATTTTGGATTTGAGAATGCTCTATCTGGGCTTGGGATGAGACTACATTTATCTAGAGCGGCAGATGTGTTATTCTAACCCCCTGAATCTTCCCTCTTCGATTTCTTCACTGCTCTCTGAGAGATACACTGTATACTCCAAAGCTGATCCCTTCCAATTTCCTTTATAGTAGAGGTCTTGGCTATTATAACCATGATGGAATGAAATGACTGTCCTACAGCTGGCAGCAAAATACACAGTGGCTATAAATAAATCCCTAATGCCTGAAAAGTAATTCATTCAACAAAGGAAAAAGAAATAGCACGGGCACTGCTTTGGCCAGCTCACCATTAAAATGCTTACTTTGTAATAGGGGCACCAAAGGAGTAGTTTGAACAGTTCAGATAAAGATGGCTGAGCAATTGTTGTCTTAAACCTCTCCCAAATCAAAAGTACCTGGCACAGGGAACTAACCATACAGGGAACAAACAATGGCCAAAGATGACCATTAGCTTGCTTCTCAAAGTTTCTCCATTTCACCAAAATAAGTGCTAGTGACTGGGATCAAGTGATCTCCACACTTCCATACTGGGATCTTATGTGAGGGTACAACATTTCACACAGGCTGAGGTCAAGCCTGCATATCCAGAAAGATGAACAGTCTTTAAAAAGTTAAACCCACATTAAGCAATGCTAGCCTTAACCAAAATAACAGGAGGGCCAATCAGAGATACAGACAGAATTCCCCCTACCCCCAACAACTCGTGATATTAACATGGGAAATTAACTTGAAAATTTATGAACTTCAGGTCTATAGCAGAGAAAGACATCGGGAGAGGAAAACCTTATGTTATCCTGTGTATGATTCCCATTAAAAGCAACATAAAGTAGTCTCTCTTTTTGGAGGTCTCCTAATTAGCTGCTACAAAATAGTATCCAAATTAGCAGCCATTCATTAACTCCCTGAAACATAAAGTATCAAGAAAGAATGCTTTTGGTCTCATTATGGGCCAGTACAGCTGCAGACCAAGCGGTGTCTGTCTGGGAAGGGAGAAAAAACAGCAGCTGGCACCCTGGGCAGCCGGAGAGGTGTGCAGGGCTGCGTGGCCAGCCACAGGGGGGAGAGTGCTTCACCACACCAGCGACGGAGAGAGTAAACCAAGCTGACACAGCACCACAGAGAAGGGCTTCTGGCATTGTAACTCTGCCAACAATTCTCCCATATGATTAAAATGATACAAAACCAAAATCAAAGAAACGGCATCTCTAAATTCCTCCCTTTTATCCCGAGAAGCAACATCACGGGAAGCGCAGGGGCACAAGTTTTCCTGCCAGGATACAGCTGCACTGCAACAGGTCACAAGGCCCATGCCACTCGCGGCACTGACTATTACGCACGAGGACAGATGTCACACAAACAGCAGCAAAGGGGTTACGACGCCAAAGGGCGCTGAGGACAAACAGGCGGAGTGGGCTCCCCTTGCAGCCAGTCCGAGACCCGAAGAAAGAGGGGACAGCAGACGCCAGACGTGGAGGCCGGGAACTCCTCGAACCGTAAGGGCTGATTCTGGGGCCCGTGCTGTGGGCAACGTGGGACAACCACCCCAGCATTCGCCGGGGGGAAAGACGCTCTAACTCGGCACGAAGCAAACGTGCATCAGTTTAACCGTCAAGTAGTCACTGGAAAACATTCGAGAATAATAACGTGCAACAAAAGTATGAATTCATGGAAATTCAGACTGAAACAGCCTGGGGAAAAAAAAAAAAAAACCAGTGCCCTTTTAACCCCATTAAATGAGGTTAAAATAGGTGGAGGAGGATGCGACAGGGAGAGCCGCGGTGGCCAGAGCTGAAGGCGAAGCGGCTCCTGCCGGACACGGGTTTCTTTTTTGAACTGGAAATGTTTCGAAAACAGCGGCGATGCTGGCGCAACTTCGTGGATGCACTAAGAACCACCGAACTTCACACCGGAAAAGGCAGAATTTGATGGTAAACAGGTGGCGCACGCATATACGGCGTTAAGTCTAGGTGGCGACACGTGAATCAAGTTTGGGAAACCTGCCCTTCCAAGAGGGCGGCGGCTCCAGGAGTCTGCGGACGTGGCCGGACGTCTCGGGCCCACGGGGGCGAGGCCTCTGCCTCAGTTCTCAGAAAGCCCCGTCTCCTCCCCAGATGGAACGAGGCCCGAGCGCACAGCCCCGCACGATCCTGCCGCCAGGATTCCTTGGGTCAGCTCAGCATCCGCCGGACCCCGCGACTGCAGACCCTCTCCCCATACAGACGCGCCCCGCAGTCATCTTCTCTCTCGCTGCCCAGACCCCGCCCGCCGCCCCGCGGCCCCTCCGGCACCCCTCCGCCGCCGGCTCCCCTTCAGACAGCTGTCCCGGGCCCTGGGGCCGCCCCTGCCCCTGCCCCTGAGGCCGACCTCACAGGCCTCTCCTGCCGGGTTCCGTACCTGCCTTCTCGGCGCCGCCGTCCCAGCGGCTGGAGATGGGGCCGTCACCCTGTGCACTCCGGAGGGCCATGTCCCGGGGGCCCGGGCTCCAGCCCGAGCCCCGGCTGGTGGCAGAGCCGTGAGAAGACGCGGCTATGGCCGCTGGACGCAGCGCCCACTCCGCCCGGGCAGGCTCGGCTTCGTCGGCCCGCGGCACGCAGGCGCAGCGGAGACCACGCCCCACACCGGCACGTGACGCTCCGCTGCGCGGGGGGCGGGGCCGGGGCGGCGGAGGCGCGCGCGGCCCGAGCCGCCTGGGACAGCGGCGGGAGCGCGCTGGGAGAGTTCCCGCCGTAGCAGCTGTCGCTCTTGGCCTAGTGCGATCGGGACTTGTCTGCAAAGTGGGACTAAGAGCACTGAGCTCACAGGTGCTTAGAACGTTACCAGGCCTGCTGTGTAACTGTGAGATGCCGTTTCAGCTTAGGGATTTTACGCTGGCGCCCAGGGCGTGCACTGTAGACGCCGTCCACGTCGACCCCTGTGGGCACCGCGCCCGCCTTCTGCACGGCCGCGACCCCCGCGGCTGACCAGGCCAGGTCCCGGCGACACGCCCGGCTTCCGAAGGCCACCCGCTCCGCGTCTGCTTGCCCTGCCTCCCCCCGGAGCTCCTGCCCGTCCTGCCCCATCCGCCTCCAGGGCCCCGTCTCGCTGGGGGAGGTTACTCCGAAGTTAATTTGATTTCTAGAACCAATATTCCATTTATTAAAATTAGAAATCCCCAAGCGATTTTTTTCCTTCAACTGACAAATTTTACAATTCTGTTCATAAATTTAGTAAATGAGATTCTTTGGGCTCATTAATGAATTTAATGAAGGCCCTTTGAACATTTGAAACTGGGTTTATAAATTTAATAATTTTCCATTTTTAAGCATCAGAATTTTAAGTCTTTACAAATGTTTGTTAATGGTAGCTAGGTATACATGAGCCTAAGTGTGTGAGGGGCAGAAGAAAAATGGGAATTTTTCTGTGCGATGCAACAAGGCAGCAAACTAGCATTTACACATCTAAAGTGGATGTGGTTCAATAACCAGGCTGGGGTCAGCCTCTCTCCTCTGCCCTTCATCAAGGGGACTATTAAGAGGTTCTCGGTGGAACTCCGCACCCAGAAAGCCCTTCATCCAGCAATATTCCAGAGAGGGTGTAGAAGGCCCAGACACAGCATCTGTGAACCACCAGTGTGAGTGCAGACTCGGCTCCCAGCTCTTTCCCGAGATCCCGGCCTGGTCTGCCAGGTGCACTCCTCACTCAATGTCGCTAGCATGCTCACAGCTACCAGTCTCACATCTGAACTCTTTCTTGCATGAAGACAAGAACCAGGTAATGCCCTCCTGAGGCAACACTTTTTTTAAGTTTTAAGATTTAACAATTTCTAACATTTTGCCTCCTTCACTTCATAGGTAGATATTATATACGTGTGCATACTTTTTCTTTAAAAACAGGGATGTTAACATCATAAAAGGATTCGTGACAATCAGAATGTGGGGGAAGGAGGGTATATTGTCACATACCAGGTTTAATTCAGTGAAACAGTTTAACAATGATACAACAAAGCCTTTTAAGTCTGTGCAATTCTTTAATGTTATTAAACTTACAAATACACTGAGTGCTTTTTTTTAAAGAGTTAGAGAGAAAGGAAGAGACAGATCTTCCATCCACTGGTTCACTCCCCAAATGGCTGCAACGGCCAGGCTGGACTGAAGTCAGGAGCCAGGAATTTCTTCTGTTGTTTCTTACGTAGGTGCAGGGGTCCAAGCACGGGCCGTCTTCCACTGCTTTCCCAGGCCATCGCAGAGAGCTGGATTGGAAGTGGAGCAGCCAGAACTCCAACAGGTGCCCATATGGGATGCTGGTACTGCAGGCCACAATTTAACTACACCATGGTGCTGGCCCCAGAATTTTATTTAAAAAAAAAAATTATTAATTTGAAAGACAAAGTGACAAGGAGGGAATGAGTTGTGGACAGAGATCTGTCTGCTGGTTTACTCCCCAAATGGCTGCAACAGCTGGAGCTGGGCCAGACCAGGAGTCCAGAGCTCCACCAGCTCCCAAACCAACACTGTGATACAGGATGCTGTTGCAAACTCCGGCTTAACCCACTGCGCCCCAACACAGGCCTCCATACATTTTACTTTAAAAATCCCTTCAGCCTCCTATCTCCCAACCACCTGCAGACAACTACTTATCTATGTTGGGTCACTATAGATTGGTCTGCACGTTCAAGAATCCTATATGGATGGTCTGGCTTCTTCAGCATAAGTATTTTTATTATTTTTTAAAGTTTTATTTATTTATTTGAAAGGCAGAGTTACAGAAAGGCAGAGTTACAGAAAGGCAGAGGCAGAGAGAGAGGTTTTCCTTCTGCTGGTTCACTCCCCAGTTGGCCACAACCACTGGAGCTGTGCTGATCTGAAGCCAGGAGCCAGGAGCTTCTTCCAGGTCTCCTACTTGGGTTCAGGGGCCCAAGCACTTGGGCCATCTCCCACTGCTTTCCCAGGCCACAGCAGAGAGCTGGGATCAGAAGAGCAGCAGGACATGAACTGGTGCTCATATGGGATGCCGGTGCCACAGACAGAGGGTTAACCTACTACTACTATACCACCACACTGGCCCCAAGAGATTACATTTTTAAAAAGTTTATTTTTACTTATTTGAAAGGCAGAGATAGGAAAAAGATCTTCCATCCATTGGTTCATTCCCCACATGCCTGTAACAACTGGGGCTGGGCTAGGCTGAAGCCAAGAGCCAAAATTCCATCCTGCTCTCCCACATGGGTGGCAGGGAGTCAAGTACTTGAGCCATTACCTGCTTCCTCGCAGGGCACACAGCAGCAGGAAGCTGGAGAGGAAGCAGAGGTGGGACTCCATCCCAGGTGCAGGTGTCCCAAGTGCTGGCTTAACGAGCTGTGCCACGTGTCTCCATACACTTTTGATCTTGCATGGGATCTACTTTTTCAGTTATGTCACCATGTTAGTAGTGATTTCAAATTCCTTACCATAAAGACGGCTCCAATTTGGATTCGGAGTTTGGTTCTAAAGACTGCTTTCTCTTGGAATTGTGGTATCGGACATCTTGTGTGGGACTAGAGGCCACGGGAAAGGGTTTTTAATGTGTGGAAATGACCACTTTTCTTTCAGTGGGGCCTTTAGTGTGGGGTTTTTGAGTTAATCTAGAGCCTGGCTAGACTTGAGGTTTGCTGGTTACTCCCAATGCACCACAAACTTCAAATTCATCTACTGACACCTTGGACTTAGGGTGCAGGCTGTGTGTTCCACTCTCAGCTTTCAGTCCAAATTTCGTGCTGTTTCAGACAGGATGGTCTTTCATGCTCTTGTCCCTCTCCTAGCAGTACTGACTTCTGCTCAATGCCTGTTAGCTTAGTGGTGCTCACGGGGGAAGTAGGGTGTTCCCCATAGTTCTGACCCTTGGTCCTGGCGGGAATTGTGTCCCTGGTCTTGGGGTGTGCTCTTTAGTGCTCCTGTTCCTCCTCTAGCTGGAGTTCTGGACCCAGGGTGTAATCCTTGCCTCTGCCCCGGGGCAGCTGTTTTTCCTGTATGATTCCTCCAGATCTGAATGCCATAGAGGGGATGGTGTTTGGCTTTTGTACAGCAGGGAGAGGGGAAGAAGGGTCCAGGAGAGGGCTGTGGTCTTAGAGCAGCGGCCACTCCTTACTTCTGGAGCATCAAGAGGCACCCAACCCCAGTGGGGTTTATGGAGAAAAACCCTGAAGAGGGTGCAGACTCCTGCAGTTTCTGGGCCCATGCTCTCACCAGTGTCCACTTGTACAGGTCCACCAGGTAGCACGTGCTCTCATGTCTTCTCTTTGCCCTGTGCTGGGCTCAGATCTGTAGCCAGTAGGGGCTGGCACTGTGGTGTAGCATGTTAAGCTGCCAACAGTGATGCTGGCATCCCATATGGGTACCAGTTCAAGACCCGACTGCTCCACTTCTGGTCTAGCTCCTCGCTAATGAGCCCAGGAAAGCAGCAGAAGATGGCCCAAGTGCCCCTGCACCCACGTGGCAGAGCTGGATGACGCTCCAGGCTCCTGGCTTTGGCCTGGCACAGTCCCAGCCTTTGCAGCCATTTGGAAAGTGAACCAGCAGATGGAAGATCTTTCTCTCTTTAATCCTGCTTTTCAAATACATAAAAATAAAGCTTAAAAAAAAAAATCTGTAGCCAGCTGATGCCCTTTGACCTCAGCCAGCTCTCTAGAAGACGCTTTTCAGAAGAACTCTTCTCTCTTGACATGCCCACTTCTAAACCAGTTGACAGTCCCGATTCACACAGGAGCACAACACACTCCCGCCTGCCCCGTGCTGCCCCCCCACCCCCAGGTTCTGTCACCAAAGGAAGACAATCGACACTAGGTACAGCCGGGGAGCCTTGCAATGACTGCGAAGAGATTACCTTTCTGAAAGATTTCTTTGGGTGCAGGGTGTAAGATGAGTCAGGAGGCGAGAGAGAGACAGGAAGGCATTAAGAAGGGATATCTGCTGTGATCATCCAGGCGAGAGGACAGTGGCTAGGATGAGGGATGTGGCAGCTGGAATGGTGGGAAGTGGATGCATTCAAGATAAATATCCATTTATTAAAATTTGGTTTATCAGAGTAATACATAAACAGCTTTAAAAGTGAATAGTGTTATTAACAATAATTTTAAAAAGTCTCAAAATAACATGCATACAGTACTACTTGGTTTTTCAATTGTAAGCATCATTTTACTTCCCATGATGTAAGATGAGGGTTCAGTGCTTGTACACAGCTTATTCTGTTACCCACATTCCCACACACGTCCGCACTCCCCACCACTCACCCTCCCATTGTAACTATGCTGCGGCATTGGATAGACCAGTAGTTACCGTCTCCACTATGGCTAGGTAAGTTTTAGTCACAGCTGAGTCAGCAGTATATTTAGCTTTCTCTCCTAATTCGCCTGCCATTCCCTGGAGCTCATAATTACATTTGGGTTTCAGTTTGCTTGGTTTTCCTTTAAACTTTTCAACATATGAGCTCTAACAAATACACTGAGAAGTGCCCCAAACAGAAGCATACAGTGTAACAAATACAGAGCAAACACACATGTAATCACCACCCCAAAAAACAGAACATTGACAGTCTCCAGCAGCTTTCTGTGCACAGTGGGATTCTGTGTTGTTTCTGGCCGT